TCATCGTTTAGAGTTCATCCAAACATTTAGTCAAGCATCAAGTCAATAAACAAACAAAATTCGATTAAAAAAAGTTTAAATGTATGCTCAATTGATTGCAGTCTGTCGATGATGTCAAGGCTGTTTGACCGCTAAAACAACTTCTTCACATTTAAGACTATTACGTCGATCAATACTGCTTATGAACTCTCACTTTCATTTTGATTGACTTGACCGAGAAACAAATTAGCTTTGATTTCTGAGGCGAGACTTTGAAAATCAGGGGTATGAAGTTTTGGGTGTAAGGGGGTACGTAGGTTTAACACTCAGCTTTCATAGCTTTAATAAGATTGGTGCAAAGCTTCAAATTAGTGGTTCAAAGTTTCCAAATTCGGGTTACAAAGGTTTACAACTTGGAGCAAGTGGTCTAATGAGCAGGTGAACACAGCTGAAAATCAGAGGTACATTGCTTAAACAGCAGGGGTACACAGCTCAAAAATCAGGGTCACATATCTCAATAATCAGGGGGACACAGCAAAAAAATTAGGGGTACACAGCTACAAATAAGAGGTACATAGCTCAAAAATCAGAAGTTCACAGTTAAAAATCAAAGGTACACAGCTCAAAAATCAAAGATACACAGCTAAAGTTCAGAGGTACACAGCTCAAAAATCAGCTGGACTCATTTAAAAATCAGGGGTTAATAGCTCAAAAGTAATAGGTACACAACTGAAAATCAGAGTACACAGCCAAAAAATGGGTTCACAGCTCAAACATTAGGGGTACACAGCTCAAACATCAGGCGTACACAGCTCAAAAGTAATAGGTACACAACTAAAAATCACGGTACACAGCCAAAAAACGAGTTCACAGCTCAAAAATCAGGCGTACACAGCTCAAATATTAGGGGTACACAGCCTGAAATTTGTAGTCCACAGCTCTAAAAAGCATTCATATACACCTCGGTTCAACAAATAAAACAATTATAGCTTACAACTGCTCCATAAATACACCAAAAAACCAATTCAATAGAGCGAATCGCATTAAGAAAAGGAGTCAATAATGCTTACTATATTAATAAATTGAGAAGAAGAAGGAAATAGAGCCAAAAAGATGCGGTTAAATGAGCTTCAATGAATGAAACTGCACATTTTAGTCTCGTACGCGAGAGAAACAAGAAACGAAAAGAAATTGATGAGAAAAAGAAGAAGAAATGTAAATAGCAAGCACAAGAAGTCGACGACGATAATGTTGTTGATGAAGATGACATAATAATACTTTTTTTATTAATACAAGTGATGCAATTGAATGTATGCTGTGGGTTAGTCGGAGTTCTTCGGTGTTTATTGGGTGCTATTGTGAGGATTTTGTCAGAATTTCGAGAGTTTGAGGCTTTGGGGATGTGGTTTTGAATTTTGTAGCTTAATTCAAAAGGGAGGGGCTGGGTCTGGACTCTAGAAAAGTTAAATAGGGTCTCGGTCTGCTAAGAACCCCCGTTACTAATGCTTAATACCAAAAATCTTCAGAAAACTTCCCAAAAAAACCACCCAAAACCCTCGCAATGGTCTCAATAATATTTTTAATTGCAGCATCTCCCTTTCCTTCTCATTACTTTATTGACTATGTCAATGACTTTCAGTGGGTTAACACAGCATGATTTTATTGGAATTCTTCTGACATTGAGACCTTCATCTGTGCATCTTTTATGCATTTGATTACAATTTTGTCAACACATTTAGCAAGTGACAATGAAATTCCTACTCAAAGTGTCGCCTGATGAGAATTTCTGAACAAAAATAGCATTTTATGGTGCTTGGTGGTTGAAAGTGACAACTTTTTTGTATCTAGATGTTGTTTGATCTATGTAAGGAGATGTCTGGTGACTGTTTCGTGTTGATTGACGGATGTGTTGTGAAAGAATGTGATGAACTCAATAATTCTTGATGGAATTGAGTTTTTAGGTTAGATTCAGATGAGAAATAATGCAATTCATGTAAAACTCATCATTATTAGCACCTCAACACAGTCTTTTTGCCATCTAACCCCATTTTTGCCAGCCTATATGACACCTAATCCCACAATCAACAACAATAACCTCTCAACATAATCTTTTGTTTACCTTAACACATGCCACCAAGTCTATTTGCCATCACATGTCTCATAAATTAAACAAACACAGCTTTTGAACTAAATGAGGTGCTAAGTGTGAATAAAAAGGCATTTGTGGAAGTGAGAATTGCTGTAATTATTTCTGTTTTACTCGACGCATGCTTTTAACTCAAGTTTGTCACTTGATTTTATGACATCGATGATTATAAAAAATGACATCTAAATGGGATTGTGTCAGTTGAACACGTGCTAAGATGGAGATTAGGTTGAGTTGAGGTTAAGAGTTGATTAGGTGCTCTTGGTTGTTGATATAGAATGGGATTAGGTGGGAAATGGCTGATTTTAGGGAGATTAAGGAAAGGTGAATAGAATTGACCAATATAATGAAATTTTTGAGAGTAAGGGGAGTGCAACTACGACAAAAATTTTCAAAATCCCTCAAAATGAGGATAAAATTGACCTAAATATTGATCTTATGTAGTTTAAGCGGACAAATCAACTCCAAATCCATTAAATCGTAATTAACCAGACCAAATCTACACTTTCTATCTCCAAACTATCAATATAACAATATTTGACAACTGAATCAGCTACGTGCATCGCCATAACATCTCCATAACTCCTCTCATATTTACCCAATTTCAATTAAGTAATATTTGATTATTTCAATACCGTAAAATTTCTCATAAAAACGACTAATTAACATTTTACTATTTAAATTTCAACCTGACCTTTTCCCTTCCCACACAAGCCATTACATTCACTGCCGCTCATCATTTTAGCGACAATATTAAAAACTATTTGTCAAGAAGAATCTCAAAAATGTCCATAATATTTGGTTTTATTGCATAACCTCATAAAAATTCTAATTTACTTCCTCGTTTCTTGTGGATTTTTAATAATATTTGACCGAATTGACATTTTCTCGACGCAGAAATCTTTGGAAAAAAATTAGCATAAATTTGTAAATCAGATGTTGTTGATTCATTCAAGATTTTTTGGTTGCGGTATGTTTTGTAGAAAGTGAATTGTTAGATCGAATGGGGTCAATCGTAAGTGATGTTTCGTTTTTAATAGACAAGATTGCTTCCAGTTATGCCTTCTAGCTTTGACTACTAGCTTTGATCACTAGATTTGACCATTAGCTTCGACTACTAGCTTCGACTACTAGCTTTTGACTACTAGATTTGACTACTAGCTTTGACTACTAGCTTCGACTACTAGCTTTTGACTACTAGATTTGACTACTAGCTTTGACTACTAGATTTGACTACTAGCTTTGACTACTAGCTTCGACTACTAGCTTTGACTACTAGCTTCGACTACTAGCTTTGACTAATAGCTTTGACTACTAGCTTTGACTACTAGCTTTGATCACTAGCTTCGACTACTAGCTTCGACTACTAGCTTTGACTACTAGCTTTGACTAATAGCTTTGACTACTAGCTTCAACTACTAGCTTTGACTACTAGCCTTGACTACTAGCTTCAACTACTAGCTTTGACTTCTAGCTTTGACTACTAGCTTCAACTACTAGCTTTGACTACTAGCTTCAACTACTAGCTTTGACTACTAGCCTTGACTACTAGCTTCAACTACTAGCTTTGACTTCTAGCTTTGACTACTAGCTTCAACTACTAGCTTTGACCACTAGATTTGACTACTAGCTTTGACTACTAGCTTTGACTACTAGCTTTGACTACTAGCTTTAACTACTAGCATTGACCACTAAGCCTCCAATTTAAACCTCACATCTTAGCAACCCCAATCATGATCATTACAAAATTAAAATTCAACAATATAATATCAAGCAAAAAAAAACACAACTGTGTCAATTTTTGTCTGCCTATAATCAATGATAACCTCCAAAATAGATGTCGAACAGCATTTAATTAAAGAAATCGAGAAGAAGATTAAATAGAAACGAGCCACATAATAAAAATAATATGAATTTGAATTAACATAGCTAAACGATATTGCTGTCACGTTTTTTGTTCGAATCTTTTATCTTTCACGGCTTTTTTTTCATTAAATTATTGAGATGGAAATTTTTTTTCGGTTATTATAATTTTTTATGGTTTAACAAGGTTTAGTGGATATTAAGTTGGGTTTGGTGTGATATCATGTTACTTGAACTGGAGTCTGGAGGAGTTTTTGATGGTTTTTCTTCTATGAGCCCGAACTGCACACTATTTAGTAATCTCTTAATGGTATTGACCCTAGCTGCCTATTGTTCAAGTCGATTTGAGATGGGTTAGTCTCTAAAGACCCCCGCTAAACTTACTAGGCCTCCTCAAAAATAGCCAAATTCGAATCCTCAACTTCAATCCCATATTCAACAATTTCATCAATTTCCTGACACCACAAAATTCAATATTCAACCACAAAATTCCCAAGAATCCACTCACATATTTCCAAATAAAAACATCTCAATAATTTCACAACAACAACAAACCGAAATATTTATTTGCATAAAAAATAATCACAAAAATCGACAGTTTAGCATCGCATACAGAAGCTCAACCTTGATTGATTAATATAACGATTTAGTGCGAAATCTCATAATGATTTGAAAGGTTAATAGAATGACAACATAGTGAGGCTGTAAAGTTTTATGCATTCTTGGGTATTTTTGATGATGTTGTAAAGATTTTTTTTTGGAAATTAGCATGAATTAGTATCGATTAATGTTGTTTTTTGACTGATTTAAGGCTGTTGTCTTGAGGATGATTACTGAATTCATTAGTCGAATTAATGAGCTATCTTCGAACATTTATAGAACCGTCCATAAAATTGATTAGCTGCTTGCTCTGATTGTGATTAATCAAAAATTGATTATAGCCATATTTTTGAGCTTTTAATCTGCAATTCTATATTTCTAATAATTCTTCTTTTTATTCTCGACATTATAGGACCTGATGGAGCAGATGGATATGACTATCCAAAGCCAGACATTCCATTCCCTCCTCCAACTCAACCTCCTGCAAAACCACCAACAACAGCAAGAACTCAACCTCCTACTCAACCACCAACCAGACCACCTACCACCTACTTACCTCCACCAACTGAACCATCTTGTGGTCCAAACTCTAAAGATCCAAAATGTTGCACACCTGGATCATCAAATCCAATCTGTAAACCAGTTCCCCCACCAACAACAAGACCCCCACCCCCTACAACTACCTCAAAACCTAAACCACCCCCTACAACTACCACAAAACCTAAACCACCCCCTACAACACGTCCCCCTCCTCCCCCAACTACCACAAGACCAGCAGTGACAACAAAAGCAGTTCCAACAACGACTGGATATGATTATACAACTCCAAAAGTGACTTTCACAGTCCCACCAGCAACAAAACCTACAACAAAGCCTCCCCCACCCCCTCCAAAAACTACACAGCCCCCAACCAGACCACCAACAACATACTTACCACCTCCCACTGAGCCTTCATGTGGACCAAACTCGAAAGATCCAAAATGCTGTACTCCAGGATCTTCAAACCCAATTTGTAAGGCAGTTCCACCACCCACGACAAAGGCCCCACCACCTCCAACCACAAAGGCCCCACCCCCTCCTACTACAAAAGCCCCACCTCCTCCGTAAGTATTGAGCTTAACCTTTAAAGATATTAATCGTCATTTTAAGAAGGTTTGGTGCTCAAATTTGGAATTAGACTGGCTAATTGATTAACCAGAAAATCATATGTGGCGTATCAAAACGAGATTAAACCAAAAATCCAATAAATTTCCATTCTAAATCCTGTCAGCGCTTCTTAAAATGAAGATAAATTAGACAATTCTAATTCAGGCTGTAGCTTATGAATTATTCAGTTCCAATTTATCATCAGAATTAATATTATAAATATATTTTTTTTCTATCGAAAATTCTAGAACGACTACAAAACCAGCAGTAACTACAAGGTGAGTGACTTGATGATTTTTTTTATTTTTGTAGCATTTTGAGTATGTAGCAGAAGTATGAAGATATCGACGAACTGTTGTCTCAAAAAATTATCAACTCGGAGCAAAACTTATTTGTCAAAATTTTTTGTTATTTCTGAATTGTCATGTTTGGATTATTTTCGGCCTTGACCTAGAATATCAATTTACAGATAGTCTGTTGATAAGTTTTTGCGACTTATTTGGATGTTCTGCATAGAAATTTTTATGCAGATTCAAAATTTTTGGTCTTAAAATGTCATGTTTAGCATGATTGTGTCAAAATTCTATCAAGTTACTAATTATTAACACTAATAACTCAAAATCAACCCCTGTAAACCAAACTCGTAGGCCCAAAACAACGACCCAAGTTAAAACTAATCCACCAACGTCAGAAGTCACAGGATATGAATACACAACGCCTAAAGTTCCATTCCCAACACCTACAAGACCACAGCCAACCACAAGACCCCCTCCGGTTGTCACTACAAAAGCTACAACAAAGCCACCTCAAACAAGGCCTCCAACTACTTATCTTCCTCCAGTAACCACAAGATCACCTCCAGTAACCACAAGATCACCTCCAGTTACCACAAAATCACCTCCAGTTACAACTAAGCCACCCCCACCTCGTACAACTACAAAGCCTCAACCACCCATAACAAGACCCCCGCAAACAACTGCTAAAACCAATCCTCCAGTCAATACACCAAGAACAAATCCACCAGTCGGAACAACAACAACAGGATATGAGTATACGACACCAAAGGACAAATTTACAGTTCCACCAAAGACACAACCAACGACAAGACCACAAACAACTGTAAAAACAACTCAACCACAAACCAGACCACCAACTACATACTTACCACCTCCAACAGAACCACAATGTGGACCGAATTCAAAAGATCCAAAGTGCTGCACACCAGGTTCAAAAAATCCAGTATGCAATCCACCAACAAACAGACCAACACCAACAACAAGAGCTACTCAACCGCCTACTAAGCCACAAACGAGGCCTCCAACTACATATTTACCACCCCCTACTGAGCCTCAATGTGGTCCCAACTCAAAGGATCCAAAATGCTGCACACCGGGATCTAAAAACCCTGCCTGCAATTCTAAAACTACAAAACCTCCAGTTGTAACTACTTTTAAGCCTCCCACAAAGCCACAAACTACTCGTCCAGCTACAAGACCTCCAACAACTTATTTACCACCTGTTACTGAACCTTCATGTGGACCAAACTCAAATGATATTAAATGTTGTAAGCCAGGATCAAAAAATCCAGTTTGTAATCCAAAAACAACTGCTCCAGCAACAAAACCTACTGCAAGACCCCCTCCCCAGACGACGAGACCCACACCATCAACAACAGCAAAGACAAATCCACCAGTAGTGACAACAACAACTGGCTATGAATACACTACACCAAAAGTGACATTTACAGTTCCTCCAAAAACACAACCTACAAAACCTCCTACGAATCCACCAACTAAGCCACAAACAAAGCCACCTACTCAGGCACCAACAAGGCCCCCTACCACATATTTACCTCCACCAACTGAGCCTCAATGTGGTCCAAACTCGAAAGATCCAAAATGTTGCAAACCAGGCTCAAAAAACCCTGCTTGTAATCCACCAACCAGCAGACCAACACCAACAACAAGAGCTACTCAACCGCCTACTAAACCACAAACTCAACCTCCAACGAGGCCCCCCACAACGTACTTACCCCCTCCTACTGAACCTCAATGCGGTCCAAACTCGAAAGATCCAAAATGTTGCAAACCAGGCTCAAAAAACCCTGCTTGTAATCCACCAACCAGCAGACCAACACCAACAACAAGAGCTACTCAACCGCCTACTAAACCACAAACTCAACCTCCAACGAGGCCCCCCACAACGTACTTACCCCCTCCTACTGAACCTCAATGCGGTCCAAACTCGAAAGATCCAAAATGTTGCAAACCAGGCTCAAAAAACCCTGCTTGTAATCCACCAACCAGCAGACCAACACCAACAACAAGAGCTACTCAACCGCCTACTAAACCACAAACTCAACCTCCAACGAGGCCCCCCACAACGTACTTACCCCCTCCTACTGAACCTCAATGCGGTCCTAATTCAAATGATATAAAATGCTGTAAACCAGGATCAAAAAACCCTGTCTGTAATCCTCCAACCACAAAGCCTCAACCCCCAATAACAACAAAACCCACTCAGCCAAAAACCACGAAACCCCCACAAACCACTAGACCCCAAACTCAAAGAACTAATCCCCCAACAACAACGAGGTAAATTTAACAAAATCAAAAACTTTTAAAACTAAAACTTAATAATGACTAATTTCCAAAATTGACTGTGATAAGCGTTTTGAACACTTGACCCATTCCATTCACGAATCGAGACATTTTTAAACGTAGCGATTTGCATACAAATGCGAAGTTTAAATAAACAGAAACATAACAGTAAGATCAAGGTCATTACAACAACATCGACTGTTACATTTATGACATTGCTCGCAGCATAACGATCGACAAGGTTGAATTTTTTTATGATCATAATTTAAATTTTTTATGTTGATGATTTTTTTGGATTTGAAGTTCATTGAACTATCTTTTTTATTATTATAAAATATTTAGAGCTGTTCCAACACCAACTGAAGTTACTGGGTATGAATACACCACGCCTTTGATTACATTCACACTTCCACCAAAGACTGTTGCAACTACAAAACCTCCAGTCGTAACTACAACAAAGGTACCTACAAAACCTCCTACTCAGCCTCCAACCAGACCACCTACCACCTACTTACCTCCACCTACTGAACCATCTTGTGGACCAAACTCAAAAGATCCAAAATGTTGCACACCTGGATCATCAAATCCAATCTGTAAACCAGTTCCCCCACCAACAACAAGACCCCCACCCCCTCCAACTACCACAAAACCTAAACCACCCCCTACAACACGTCCCCCTCCTCCCCCAACTACCACAAGACCAGCAGTGACAACAAAAGCAGTTCCAACAACAACTGGATATGATTATACAACTCCAAAAGTGACTTTCACAGTCCCACCAGCAACAAAACCTACAACAAAGCCTCCCCCACCCCCTCCAAAAACTACACAGCCCCCAACCAGACCACCAACAACATACTTGCCACCTCCAACTGAGCCTTCATGTGGACCAAACTCAAAAGATCCAAAATGCTGTACTCCAGGATCTTCAAACCCAATTTGTAAGCCAGTTCCACCACCTACAAAAAAAGCCCCACCACCTCCAACTACTAAGGCCCCACCACCTCCAACCACAAAGGCCCCACCTCCAACCACAAAGGCCCCACCTCCCAAAACTACAAAAGCTCCACCTCCTCCAACTACAAGGTAAGTTTAGCAAATAATATAAAGATCTTAGATCAAAACTTATCAATTATGTATTGATCAATTTTGATTATTTTGCTAAGTTGCGATCATTTAGTAAGAAATAGGATCTTAAAAATCAAAATCTTAATTTCGCAGACCACCTCCTCCACCAACCAAGAAAGAAACAGAAGAAACAGGATATGAATACACAACACCTCAAATTTCATTCACACTTCCACCAAAAACAGTTCCAACAACAAAACCACCAGTCATAACTACAAAGGCACCTACAAAACCTCCTACTCAGCCTCCAACCAGACCACCAACTACTTACTTACCACCACCAACTGAGCCATCATGTGGACCTAATTCAAAGGACCCAAAATGTTGCACACCTGGATCATCGAATCCAATCTGTAAAAAGGAAGTTCCTCCAACAACAACCAGAGCTACCACGACCACAACAAAAGCTACTACGACCACGACAAAAGCAACTACAACTACAAAAGCACCAACGACTACAAAAGCAACCACAACAACCCCAAAACCAACAACATTACCCCCAACTTATCTTCCACCAGCATGTGAGCCAAACTCCAAGGATCCAAGCTGCTGCGTTCCAGGATCATCAAATCCAAACTGTAAGAAAGAGGAACCAACCACAACAAAGCCACAAACCACACGAACAACGCCAAAACCTACCACAACAACTCCAAAACCTACCACAACCACTACAAAGTATGATAATCAGTTATTTAAGTTGTTTTAAAATTGTTAATAAATATGTTTAAAATTCTAGGGCTACCACTACAACCACAAAGGCTACAACAACAACCACAAAAGCACCAACAACTACAAAGGCAACCACAACAACACCAAAGCCCACAACATTGCCCCCAACTTATCTTCCTCCAGCATGTGAGCCAAACTCGAAGGACCCAAGCTGCTGTGTTCCAGGATCATCAAATCCAAATTGTAAGAAAGAAGAACCAACCACAGCCAAACCACCACCTCCAAAAACTACCACAAGACCCCCCACTACTACTACAAAACCCCCAACAACTACAACAACTACCAAACGACCAACCACAACCAAACCTCCACCCCCTCCAACGACAACTATGTAAGTACTAAACATTTCTGGGTCTAATGCACTATTTTAGTAGGGCTGTATACTATTTTAGTATATTGGTTTACTATTTTAGTATATTGACCATCAACATCGTCAATCAGGATACTATATTAGTACATTAATATACTAAAATAGTATATTGGTATACTAAATTAGTATATTCGTGTATTTTTATTAAAAACAATTTTTCCTTCAGTATCCCATCAACACAAGGTCCAACTTACCTTCCACCAGATGAAGAATCACCAGCAGGTTCAAATGATGATGTAGTCTCAGTACTGGTTCCAAAGAAGTCAACAGCAGCACCACCAACCCGTCCAGGACCAACAAATCCCCCACCCCCTCCAGCTAGAACCACAAAAGCACCACAACCACCTGCAGTTACAACAAAAGCACCACTAAAAGCAACAACAGTATTTGCTGGACCAAGTTATTTGCCAATTGGAAAGCCAGCAAGTCCAAGACCAAGCAGAAGATATACAGATAGAACTTATACATTCGGAAGTGTGACTTATAGGCCGTATACATACAGACACATTGATGGAACACCTGGAACTTACACTTATAGATCAACAACAACTGGAACTACCACAACGACTGCTAAGTATGAATACAGACAACCAGCTGGACGTCGATTGAGGATTTATTAAGTTTTAGAATTTGAGAATTTTCTTTAGGGATTGAAAAATGTTTGAAATTTTTTAATAATTAAGTCAAAATGAAATAAAAAGGAATTAAAAAACAGAACAAAAGGGGAGCAAAATACAGCATGGAAGTTTAAGACAATATCAAGTGTGCCTTAGAATTTTTAAATTAATTTGTATATTCAACAAAAATAATAGACGATGTGTTGTAAATAATGAAAAGTTTAGCAGGGGGAAAATAACTTGGTGTGAAACGTGTACGCCATTTCACACCAGAGTTGTGAAATTTCACACCACTGGCGTGAAACTGGCGTGAAATGGTGTGAAATTTCACACCACTGGCGTGAAATGGTGTGAAATTTCACACCACTGGCGTGAAATGGTGTGAAATTTCACGTCATTTTTGTGAAATTTTTGGCGTACACGTTTCACACCAAGTTATTTTCCCCCTGAAGTTTAGTCAATAAAAATAAAAACGAAATAAAATGTGAAAAAAGAAATTTTTTAAATTGGTTTTTTTTTCTTTTCAGATTTTTGAATGGTTTTATGATTTTTGACAATTTTTTTTAAGTGACTGAATTTTTTAAAGTTTGAAATTTTTTTATATTTTTTTTGACGTTTTTTACAATTTTTGAATTTTTGATTTTTTTTTTGATTTTTTTGATTTTTTTGATTTTTTTGATTTTTTTAATTTTTTCCTAATTTTAAACTTTCAATATTTTCAAAAAAAATAACAATTTTTGAATTTTTGAATTTTTGATTTTTTTTGATTTTTTGGATTTTTTACTGATTTTTTGGATTTTTTTGATTTTTTGGATTTTTTGAATTTTTTGGGTTTTTTGGATTTTTTTATTTTTTTATAATTTTTTTTTTGAATTTTTGTTTTTGTTTTTACAATTTTTGACTCCTTTTAAAATTTTAATTTTTTTTTCACAATTTAAAAAAAACTTTACGAGATTAAAATCAAAGAAAAGAATAAAAACTTTAAAAAAATAAAGAAAAAATCAGAATTAAAAAAATGACTCATAAAAAAATGTCAAATCATCCCAAAAATAACTCGACAACCTCACCATGACCAGACAATTTTCTAATTTGAAATGCCACGACATCATTTTCCATTAGATTTATTTAAGTTTTCTTACAGCTAATCACTGTAAAGCATTTGCATTCGTGAATTTTGTAGAAAATCATCAGAATATTCTGTATTTAAGTTCAGTTTACATGCGGTGCTTGGGCGATCAACTAGATTGAGTAGGTAGAACTTGATGAAACAAAGTTAAAACAAAGTTAAAAAGTTGACAAGATTAGGTTTGTGAAATCTTAATTTTAATATTCTAAAATAAAGTTCTCGAGGAATAAAGTTTTTTTTGCTGATTTAAAGATTTTGTTTTGAAAAATAATGAATTGTTAAAAAAATTAAACTAAACTAAGATTTAATTTTAAAATTAAAAGTTTCAATTTTTTTAATAATTTAAAAATGTTGAAAACATCATAAAAATTTCCAAAAAATTTTATAATTTCAAAAAGTTTTTTCAAATTCAAAAGTTTTTGAAACTTAAAAAATGTAAAATGATTTAACAATTTAAAAAAATTAATAATTTAAGATAAAGAAATTTCTATATTTTATGAAATTTTATAAAAAAACATTAGTGCTTTAATAATTAAATATAAAAACTTAACACAAGTCTAAAAATCAAATCTACAAATATTATTCCAAATCCGTTCTTAAATCCGGAAAAACAAACAAAATCAGCAGCAACTAATCAAGAAATAACTGCAAATTCGTCAACAATTTAAAAATAATTTTTGTGATAAAAACTTATCAAGCGAACAATTAACAAATTTTAGTATTTGCTTATTAAATTATCAGTGCCGACACATTTTCACATTTATTTTTTTAAATTTTTTGTTAAATTTTAATTAAGATACATTAAGATCAATGATAATTCAGTTAACATCCACAACATGTATGCGTATTAATCAGCTGTGAACATAAAGAATGAACAACAGCATTGAAAACAATGTTAACAGCTTAACAGCTGATGTGAAGGAATATTGTTAAGTTGTGTGCTGATTTAATTGTGGCTTAATTGAAGAAATATAAGAATTTATAGATTTAGACTAGATTTACTTGATTCTTAAGCATTATTCAAAGTAAAAAATAATAAATACACAATTTTTCCACAATTTTAGACATCAAATCAAACCCAAAAAACATGAATCTCCAAAACTATCTTCGATCTTCAATAATAATCTTCATCCTACACATTTCCTCAACAAGTGGGAAGCTTCGTAAGTATAATTAATTAAATGTCAAGATGACAAGTTAGAATGCGGATTGTAATTAGATAAGCTATTGAATATTCATGAAGTCTGAGCATCTGTCAAAATAAATCATTTTCTAAATTGCATGGAAATTTTCTGTTTATTTGTTTTAAGAAATTATCATAAGTAAAATAATTGATCAAGTCAAGTTCTAATTAATTGCATTAATTAATATTCAATTGTGATATATCAAGGTTTAGACTCCAGTGCTTCTCAAACTTTTTTGGTCGACTGCACACTTTTTGGTTTAGAATTTAGCGGGAAATTTCTGATAAGTCTCTGATGTGCCGCGGTACACAGTTTAAGAACCACTGGGTTTAACACTAATGATCAGGCTTACTAAAGTAAGCTTAGAATCAATTTTTCGAATTTTTTTGGTCAATAAGTTAAACGTTTCCTGATTTAAGGATAGTTGGAGATATTTAGAGATATTTCGGGATATTTAGGGACATTCGGGATATTTTGGGATATTTCGGGATATTTCGGGATGTTTCGGGATATTTCGGGATATTAAGTAATTATTCATGATATTTAGGGATATTCCAGGTTATTTAGAGATATTCATTATATTTAGGGATATTCGGTATATTTGGGTTGTTTAGGGATATTCCAGATATTTAGGAATATTCGAGATATTAATGAATATTTCGGGATATTTCGGGATTTTTAAAAATATTCGGGATATTTAGAAATATTCAAGAAATTTAAGGATATTTCGGGATATTAAGAGGATATTCGGGATATTTCGGGATATTTGGGCTATTCAGCGAAATTTGGGATGTTTAGGGATATTTCGGGATATTTTAGTATAAGTTTTTTTCTACAAAAAATCAGGCTCTTTTTCCTTAATCCAGCAACAGAGGAACTTTTAGTCATTATGCCAATCCTCTTCCTTTCTTACACCCTTGAATTAAAGCTGATTTCCTCATTGTCAGCCTTAAACGCAAGATTTGATAGCTTTCTATTAATTTCCCTTAATCATCTAGCTTAACTACTTAATAATTAATAATCGTTAATTTATGAAACTTAACTAGATTTTTATTGCCTCTAATTTCAGCTCCTTACATCAAAATCTGCTCTCAGAATGACCCAAACATTGAACAATGCATCGTTGACTCTGTTATGAGCTTACAGCCGTTATTAAGGTCGGGGAAATTAGTTGAGGATTATCAAATGCCGGTGAGTATTAATTAAACAGTTAGAAAATTGAAATCTAGTTGATTAACATAAATTGTGCATTAATCATGCATGATGAATGATTGAGTAGGGTCGATAATAAATTATGTCAGTACTGTAAATGAGAGGAGGTGGGTCTAAACCCGGATAATAGAATTGGATGGTCGACTCGAAGTCGACTTCGCCATTCAAAATCGATGATAACCTTGAGTCGACTTCGAGCTCAACTTAATTCACTTTATTACATCTGAACCAAAATTACAGTTTTGAAAAATTCTATTCACAGAGCATTGAACCGTTCACATATGATGAGTAAGTATGACTTTGCAAAGAAATAAGTTTTTTTTTGTAAATTATTTGACAAGAACCAAGTCAAACTGATGAATCATCAAAACATTTAAATATCTGAACTTTCAGTTTAGTCATCGATCATGGTCCGGGCTTCAGAATTGAACTGAAAGATCTAAAATCGTGGAATGGAAGCAACTTTGAAATTGTCAACGCTAAGTAAGTGTTTTAATATCTTTAATAATTCAAATTAAAACCAAAAGACTTAAACGATTGAACAAGTCGGATAATCGATCAGAAATTCAACACAAAATTCACTTTAGGGCACATATTTCAGTCAATGTCTTATAGTCGCTACCCAAAAATGGATTTAATGGTTTATAATAGTAAATACACCAAAATAGAGCAAGAACTTGAACAAAAAGAAGTTTTTTACACAAGTTTTTTGATTCGATGATTCTTTTTACAGAGTAAATCTCGAGAAGCTCACATTTGACTTTACTGTGACAATGCCGAATGTTAAGATGATTGGAAAATATAAGATGACTGTTAAGCTTCCATGTAAGTTAAGTTCCATTTCAATATGATCGTAGAATTAGAATTAAAACAGATTGAACTTACATAGATGTCAATCTAACATGACTCATTCTCATATACTAGACTCTACTCACTAGGGGCCATTCACTTGTGACGTCCATCAATAAACATAAGTTTTAGACCCCTCTTTTCCCACCTGTCAAAACAGCCCCCCCCCTTTCTGACGTTCAATCATTGACACAAAAAATATAATTTTCTCACAAAGAATTGAATTTCACAAATTTCCTGACCCCCTCCCTCCCCTGTCACAATGTGTCACAAGTTTTTAGACCCCCCACCCTTAAATGTTGGACGTCATAAGTGAACGACCCCTAGTATTGATTCTCAATTCATCTTCAGATTGATAATTAACGAAAATTTCAATTTTATAAACTTTTTAGTAATCGAGCTAAGTGGAAATGGCGAGTTGATCAACCTTTTGAAGAATTCACGGATGCGAATCAAGCTTTACGCCTCGAAAGTTGAAGAAGAAGGCAAAAGTTTTATTAAATTCAATAAAGCTAATGTAAGATTTCACAAAGGAGATTCACAAATAACTTTAACGAACTTGTTCAATGGTGAGTATTGTTGGTGGGCATCTAAAGGCACTTGGGACACATCTAGTTGTACTGCAATACAGGATATAGCCCCTGAGTAGCTCTTAAATCCAAGTTTAAAGCTAAAGTTATCTCAACCAAGAGTGCGGAACTGATAAATTAGATTTTGATCATTTCGATCAGTTCCGCACCATTCATCCCAATTCAATTTATTCTCATACATTCTGAATTAATTTTAGGTGACCCAACGCTCACTCGAATCGGAAATCAAATCGTAAATGACAATCAGGATCTCTTTGCAGCAGAAGTGATGCCAGTTTTGGAGGCTCAATTTTCAAAAATCTTCATGGAAGTGGCAAATAAAATTGTGGAAAATTCAACATTTGATGAAATTATGCCTCCTTTATAGAGCTTTAATTTAAGATTCTTGGCTGCTTTTTAAGCTTTTGAACTTGAATAATTAAATGTATTTGATTTTGAACTTAAAAAAGCTTGAGTAAAGTTTATGAAAAGCTCTTTAAAAGCTTCAAAATTAAACCTTTTTTTTAATGATTGATTTTTTATTTTTTTAATACAAGTTCAATAAGATTCGATCAATGGAGCTCGAGTTCTTAAGTTACGGGGTCTGGATTGACTTTCAGACCACTTCGACATAAACCTGAGTGGAACACTTGACATAAGATCTAGTAAATTTCTAGACATAGGGACGACTAACGACAATTTTTTGAGAATATTCTTAAAAAATTGTCATTAGTCGTTCCTACATCTGGTAATTTAATAAACATCATGTCAAGTGTTCCACTCAACAAATAGAATTTAAATTTATGTTGTAATTTATAACATTCTCATCGACAGTTAATTGTGACGTCAATGGAAGTACGTCATGAATGTTTTGTTATAGTTTTACATCTTCAAGCAATAAAATGCTGAAAAATACACAAAAGGTTCCAAAAATCCGCTCTTGACTCCCAAAAATTCTCTTTAAAATTCTCAATTAGCTTAGCTAAGTTCAATCTGAGATTTTGACAAAAAGCTCGCGCTCACACTTAATTGCTTATGGGCGGAACAAGTTCGGATAATAACCGGTGATGAATTGCTCTCTCCGTGTGATTTAAATAGACCACATTGAGTCTCATTCGATTTTAGTTTTGTTTCATGTTCTGAATTGATTGGACTGGATTTGGAGTTGAGAGGATATTGTTGAGGGCTATTTTGTTGATTTGACGGTGGTTTTAAAGTGAATTTGTACATTTTTCATGAGAATCGGTGAAGAACTTGCAATTTTTGCGAATAATAAATGAACTATTTAAAAAGAATCAGCTAAAAGTGCAGATTCTTGTGTGTCTATAGCTTCCAGCCAAGGCTTGGGCTTTCTTGACAAATAAAACAGCCTTAAAAAGTGATTCGAACCTTAAAGGTGTTGCAACATAACCTTAAAATGGAAACAAATCCCAAATTTATCATGACTCGACAATTTATAGTGATTTTTATCATCCTGGGAATTCTTAATGTCTGCAATGGGAAGCTCCGTAAGTAAAACTTAAAAAAAGCTATTAAAATTTATTGATTTGTTGAATTGATTGCTTAAGGGGCCGTTCACTTATGATGTCCAAGGGGGGGGGGGGGGTCAGCAAGAAAAGAACAATAAAAATTCCTGGTTCCTAAGTGCTTAACCTTAAGTGTGAGCCTTAAGCCTGTGATTCAAAAAATTATCATAATGTCAAATCAACCAATGCTGTTCGGCTTTTAAGAATTTAAATTATGTGGAGGATACTTTGATTGCTACTGATGGGTAAGCTGCCCATCCAGGGGCGTAGCCAGGGGGGGGGGCATAGGCCCCCCCCCTACGAAAATCTGATAATTGTTTTATTAAGTATTTATAGAGAAGAACCAGTTAATGTAGAGGAAGTGATGAAAAAAATGTCAAAATCAGCAAGAAAAATTAAATTTAATGTATGAATAATGAATTAAATATTTAAGCTTATGAAGAATGAATAACGATTTAAGGATACAAAATAACGGTTTTTTAATTTTCGAAAATGGGCCCCTCCTTAAAAATTTTCTGGCTACGCCCCTGTGTCCAACTGCCCGCTTTAAAGTTGAACGGACCAAATTATTAAGCATTTTCCTAAAATATGTACAAAAATGCGGGAGTGTCCCACTCAAAAACCGTATTTGGACAGTCTACTCACCAGTAGCCTCATTCCTGTTTAATACATAAAAGCCGGTTCTAATTTTATTAAGCCCTTAATTAATACAGAATTGCTGATGATTTCCACAGACATTTATTTTAATTTAAATCTCAGAAAATAAAAAACATTCTCTCAATTCTTTTAATGAACAAAGGAATTAACTGTTTCAAATTGATGTAATAATAACAAACCTGTATGATAATTTAAAGCCGAGCAAAATGATTACTGTGGTCGTGTGGAAGTTGAGTAGCATCCGGAAGTGGAACTGATTAAAATGATCAGAAGTCAGTTGTGTGGAACTGATTAACTCCCTTTTGATTTTATTGGTCAACATAGTGACTTGTAGCATCAATAAAGTTGAGATTTGGATCTCAAGGCTGATTCTTACATTTACCGTATAGCAGACCAAAGCTTAATACTCAAATATGGTGTTTACTTTTGAATATACTCGAAAAATTAACTTTGCTTTCGAAATCATTCAAAAATCATTAAAATAGTCAAAATCCATTAAAAACAGTAAAATCGAGGAAAAATCACAAATAACAGTGACGTAACATCCAAATAACCCCCACTCTTATGATAATCACATGCTAATTTTTAGAAAGCGAAAGCAAATGTTGTTCACACTTTTCGCATTAGAATTTTTTAATTGAAGCCTTTGTGCTTGTAGCATGTGCGAAATTGACAATTAGATGCTAGTGACGTACTCGTCTGATCTGTTGTGTTGAATAAATGGATCAAAGGTTGATTTTAATTGAGAATTGGTTAAGGAAGTTTTATTGTGCAATTAATTTTGATGATTTAAAGCTGATCGATTCAGAATCTTTTAATTACAAGCTTCATTGTGCCAATTAAATTGAACGAATTTGAGTAAAATTGGATGAATATTTGAATATATTATAAGGCTGTTCAATTGTGTAGTTTTGAGCGGGACAGTTCCTGCTTTTTTGAACAAAGTTCCTCCTAGAATCCTTAATGTGTCGCTTTTTGAAGACATTTTTCTTGGAAAATGGTTGAAAAATTTGGTCTGCCCTGCTTTTCAGAGCTAAAATCAGTTTTTTGACCGAAAATTGGCAAAACTGATGGACAGCCTGCATTTTATAAGAATGGCAGAGGGTAAAATAAAGTAAGATTTTCTGTGGAAATTGCAGGCTATATTAAACAAATGTGACATTTTTAGTCGTAATTTATTGATTTTTTTATAGCATCAAGTGTCCAGGTGTGCTCAAGAAATGATCCCAATATTGATCAATGCATTACAAACTCGGTGAATAAGTTGAAGCCATATTTAGCGACTGGAGATCTCGGAGATGGATTTATTGTGCCGGTAAGTCGAGAATTAATGTCTGATGTATAGTTGGTGCATCAGGCGTGTAACCAGGGGGGGGGGGAATTGGGGGACAAAACCCCCGACGTTAACAGAAATTTTTTCGTTTTGCTAGAAGTTTGATGCAAAAATCATAAAAATCCCTCTGAATTTTTCATATAAAAATTTTTTGAACCCCTCCCCCCTCCTCCCACTCTACCCAGACTCTTCAAGTTCCTTTTATTGGTGTATAGTATTGTTGGTGTATACCTAAGCAACCGACCTTAACAATTCATCTGAGTTAACACATATATCACTTTATTGCTTAATTTCATGAACTTTTGCAGGCGCTAGAACCATTTTTGTATGAAGGGTGAGTAACATAACCTCGAAAAAACTTCAAACTGTAAAAATAATTCGAATGTTCTATTTTAGCTTTTCAATCAACCCAGCTGCTAATTTCTTAGTAAAAGTCAACAATGCGAGTGTCATTGGAGCTAGTAATTTTGTCATAGAAAAATTGAGGTGAGCATTTGAAGCTTCAGGAACTAAATTACATGATTTACTCATTAATGTTGTATGACCCTGAAAAGCACAAGTCGGTTGATCGATCAGAAGCCCGATGCCAAGCCAGCGTGGCTCTGGTATGAAGCTAGTTTCGATTTAAATCCGATCCAGCTTGTCGTTGGATTCTGATTGATCAACCGACTTGTGCTTCCCTTAGGCATCTAGTAATGGGATCAAGATTTCAAAAATAATGATGAAGATTCTGCCAAAAAACATAATTCCTGCTTAATTATAGGTTCAACTACAACAAAATCGCTTTGGACATGATTGCTTTATTCCCAAATCTAACTATGCTTGGAATCTACGACATGAAAGCTAAAGTTGCTAGTAAGTTTTTGCAATTACAATCATTCATTCTCTTATGACGTCCTTCAGTTAAAAAATCAGAAATTTTTAAGAAGGTCATGGACATAAGGTGACATTGCTGACTTTTCTACAGAAATATCCAAATTTTCTGTTCAAAATCGATGGTCATCCTTGTCATAAGTGAGTGTCCACAAAAATTGATCATAATCTTTCGCAGTTCTCGACATCACTGGACGAGGCGACCTCAAAGCATCCATAGTCAACACAAAGATGAAGATGAAAATCACAGGAACTAGATATGACAATAATGGACAGACTTACCTCAAATACGATAAAGTTACACTTAAATTTCAAGTTGGAAAGACGAAAGTTTACTTGACAAATTTGTTTAATGGTGAGCTGATGATTAATTCTGTGGGAACAACTAGATATCATGGATAATTTTACTTTTTAAGGTGAGCCAACCCTTCAAGCCGTTGGAAATCAACTAGTAAATGAGAATCAAGACATATTCTTTGAATTTATTGTTCCTGTTATGGAGAAACAATTTGCTAAATTATTCAAAGATGTTGGCGATGCAATTGTTGAAAAAGCTACTATTGATGAACTGTTTCCTGATACTAAAGTTGGGGAAAATTAAAAATTGTAGCTTGATTATAAATTTTTGGACAATAAAGTTGTTTAGAGTATTTGTTAAGGTCTTTAGAAATTGATCAATGGTGATTAAATTATTATTGCACTTGTACAAAGCTTGATATCTATTAGATTGAATTAAACTTAGACAATAGTTGAGAACGTAATAAATAAAATTATTGAAAGCAAGCTAGATTTAACTAGAGCTCGAAATCGATTAACACTAAGTCAACTTGACTCTGAAGCTAACATCAAGTTGACTTTACGAGGAAGCTTACATCAAGTAGACTTTATGAGGAAGCTAACATCAATTCGACTAGTTGAGCTAGCTAAAATGAAATCAATTTCATGAGGAAGCTGATATTAAGTCAACTTGATCATGAAGGTAACATCAAGTCAACTTGACAAGGGAAGCTAACATCAAGTCAACTTGACAGTGGAAGCTAACATCAAGTCAATTTTACAGAGGAAGCTAACATCAAGTCAACTTTAAAAGGAAGCTAAAATTAAGTCAATTTGATAAGAAATCTGATATCAAGTCGACTTGATCATGAAGCTGGCATCAAGCCGACTTGATTAGGAAGTTGACATCAATGCAAAATAGTGAGGAAGGTAACATCAAGTTGACTTAATTTCAGCTTTCTCATCAAGTTCTCATCAAGGAAGCTGATATCAAGTTGATTTGATTAGGAAGCTGACATCAATGCAACATGATGAGGTAGCTTACATCAAGTCGGCTTGATGAAGAAACCTGTCAAGAAACCTGATCCAGCCCCCATTTATCGCAAATCTTATCAGATGCACACATTTATCATTCCCATAACGTCTAAATCACAAACTAGAAATCTTATCATCAAAATATATTTTTTTTCCTTATCAGGCGATTAACGTCAGTATTTGCTTTGCAGTGATTCAGTTTTGACGAATTTTTTGACAGTCCATAAAATTGTTTTGCCGACTTAACAGTGTTTTTTACAAACATAGCTAAGAACCATCAAAACATGAGAATCTTTGCCTCAATTTGCATAATTTTATGCTCTACTTTATCGCAAACTTCAGCACGCGGCAGTCAACAAATCGTAAATGGCATATCAAGTGATATCCAGCCATTCATGGTCTCAATAAGGCACTTGACTATGGACGCAGATCGCTTTGGAAGTGGACACATTTGTGGTGGAAGTATTTTATCACACAATCTGATTTTAACAACAGCAAGCTGCTTAATCGACCAAGACAATCACTTCCTGGAAATTGCAGAAATTTCAATCATTGCTGGAACTAACCGAAGATATGAAGAATTTAATGCTGTGTCTGTGTTTCCGAGAGCAATCAGCATTCATCCTAATCATGTTGTCAATAATATCGCATTAATTGAGACATGGCCAATGCCAAAAGATTCAAGGAACATTCATCCTATAAATATGATATTGGAACCGCCAATTCCAGGTGATTCATGTGAAATTTATGGCTTTGGACAAGCTTTAAGCCTCACTGGACCGGCACAGCTACAAAAAGGAACAATTCAAATTGTCGACAGCAGTGCTTGTCATGGACATCAAGTTAATAGTCTTTGCAGCAGTGGAAGTACCTTTCCATGCAATGGTGATTCTGGTGGTGGACTGATCTGTGATGAACAGCTTGCTGGACTTATTGACAATATTGACTTTGATTTTTGTAGAATTGCTGAGGATGTCATGCACGTTAGCTATATTGACATAGGACCTTATCGTGACTGGATAATTGAGCATATGAGGACGATTGAGATGACTTTGGCTGGTGTGGATGGAAATGGAGGGAAAATGAAGATAGGAGCTGGCTTTTTGATCATTATTGTAAACTTTTTGGTGATTTTTATGCTTAAGATGTAAATTTTATTGGTAATTTTCAATTGATGGGGTCGATTATAAATGACGTCTGTAAGGAATTCAGAGTTTTAAGGCCTCCATCTATGTCTTCTGATCAGGTTTAATCATTCTCGAACTTTTTAATCAGCTTCGTGCTCTCACGGCAGAGACCAAGCCATACAAAAAATATCGGACATCATTTATAAATCACCCCCAATCGAAAAATTTGACAAATTTATTAAATAAAAAAACATAAAAAGTTTAACAAAATTGAGTTTTTCTTAATGTGTAGCTTTAAAGGTAAGACATCCACTCTTAGGTGTAGGCTCAGCATGATGGATTCACAACTGAATAGAACTCGATTGCGACATTAGCTAAAATAAGTATTGATATAAGAAGTTCTAATCAAACCTTCCAAATTATTCAATCAAAACTTACACTTGTCATTATAGTCATAAACCTTAACTCCAGCTGGTTTAATATCCATAACCTCAAAAGATTTTGAAGCTTTGATATCAACACAATACTCCTGCTTCCTCTCGAAGTCATTGTAGTAGATGTAGACTATCGTGCCTTTACGTCTTGTTTGGACTAGCTGCAATAGAGATTAAAGATTAATTTGGATTCACTGTCATATTTTGGGAGAGACTTTTAAGTGGGTTCTAGAATATGCTGCACGTGTTGATTTTAGCTAGATCTACAGAACAGAACACATTTTATCATGATTATTAGTAATACAGCATGACAACAAGGTGCTCCATTCTGAAGAACCAGCTTTATGAACTCTAAATTCAGCCCTAATCACCAGCTGCTCCCCTAACCTCACCTTAATATCCTTATATTTGCTCTCCAAATCATCAATTCCAGCATAAACATATCCACTTGGCATCTCAACCTCATAAATCACATTAACGATTGAAGTATATCGAGCATAATTATATTCAGCACAGACTTGGAATATAGACTCAAAACGATTTGATGATGATTTTGTTGGAGTTACAGTTAAAGCGAAGGAAGTAGAAATTTGAGGAAGTTTGATCAATTTCTCATAAAGTGTTGTGATTGAGCAATAGCCATGACCTTCAGCAGTTGAGATGACATCCTGAGAATATTCTGGAAATTCAATAAAGTGCATCTTATTTGCATTCTTCTTAGTGATTGATGCTGATGCTGTGAAATTCCTTTCGTTCCTTACTGTGACTTTCAAGTTTGTTTTATCAACTTTGAGGATGCTGGCAATTTTAGCGATTGGTTCTGTTGCGACTGCATATTCATGAGTATTTGAATATAGATATTTTAGGTTCAAGTCTTTGACCAGCCAGTTGACTAGCTCTGCTGCGTTTGAAATGTCATTGATTGACAAGTAAGCTAGTGCTGCATATGATGTATGCCTCATGTCACATTGTTCAGCACTTCTCATAATTTTAAAGCACTTTTTGTTACCTGGGAAGCCAAGTGAAGCTTCTTGAAGGTCATCAAGTAGATTTTTGACTTCTATGGTTTCGCCAGCTAGTCCATAAGCATATGCAGCTATTGCTATGCCTTCCTTGCTATTCCCAATTTTATTTTTATTTGACTTCAAATAATTAAATGCTTTTGTTATTTGAGTTTGATAATTTTGTCCAATCGTTGTCTTTCTTAACTTTAGGAAAGGAATCAACACAAATGCAGTCTCAACATAGCTGGATCGACTTTCAGTTCTATCAAATTCTGGGAAGTCACCAAAATTTGTGAATCCACCGTCTAGATTTTGTTTACTCTTAAGTGCTTCAAGTTCAGCTTCGATGATTCTATTGTTTGCAGGAAGTGCTCCGATTTCCATTGCTGATGCCATAGCCTCGAGGAAGTAGGCTCTATAGCCAGTCTTTGTTGAGTAGCTCTAGAATTAAAAATTTATGAATCATCATCTCAAGTAGATCATTGAAAGCTCCGTACCCAATTCTTGGTCCTCTCCACCAACAATGACTGATAAAAGTCACTAAAATGCTTCTTGTCTGGGTTCCGCTCTCTTGACAGCAAGTACCGGAAGTACTCAATGTTTCCTTTGATTCTTGATGTCTGTTGTTCGAGACAGTGATGTGGATAGAGCCTGTGGATATACAATAAAGTGTTAATTGAAGATATAATTTAAAGTATACTTACTGGAACCGCTTGCTCATCTCCACTGCATCACCAAGATAATCTCCACCAACAATCACATCTAGACCTGTCAGACCATCGGTAAAGTTGGCATGATGCGTAAGCTCCTGAGTCTTTTCTCCATTCAGCACATAATCTTCAGTGAAAATTGAATAATCTCTGACTCCAACAGGCTCAACCAAAAGCTTCTTTTCGACCGAATCCTCATAAGTCCTTAAATATCTTCCACTTGCTGTAGCCCTGACTATTATGTCAAGTTCTTTTGGAATATTGTTACTTTTTCCTTCAACAACACTCGATCGGATATAAAATGACACTTTTTTGACTGCTGTATAAGGAACTTTTGTGAATGTTGATGATATCAAATTGTCATTGGGAATTGCTGTACAGACTCCTTTGACCTTTGAGTATTCAATAAACTGGAACTGATTTCCATTGGCATTTATAAGGTGTACATCAACATCCAAATTGTCTCTAGATTCAACGTAATTAAACACAAGAATGTCAAGTCGCAGGACTTCCTTAAACTTTATTGAGTACGGCAAGTTTATCTCGACGAAAAACTCATTCATGACTTTCAGTTCTTGTGTTGGTGCCATGGCTAGTCCTTTTTCTATATTTAGGGAAAATGCTGAAATGAGCCATGTTGTGATCGAGTCTGGTGCTGTAAATTCCTTCATGGCTGTCTTTTTGTCACCAATTTCAAATGACTCAAAGATCCAAGATTCTGGAAAGTCTTTACGAAGAACAGCATTTTCATCGTGTGCTTCTTCTTCCTCAGAGTCAATTTCTACACCATCATAATCATCATAATAAGTTCCTCTTAAGTCAATATCATGATCCAATATCTCCTGCATCCTCTTCATCTCATTTAAAGTGCATTTTGTCCAAGACGATAAGTCATTGACCATAATTTGGTTATCTCCATCATAACTGGATATAGCTGAAACTACATCATCTCGAGTTATGTCATTTCCATCTCTTAGGAACTTCAGGCGCTTGTCAAAAGCTAACATGTAGATTTTGGATTTTGGGGAAGTGGCAAAGTTCATGCGGATTTTGTCTTTTGTTTTGGCGGTGTCAGTTGATATGTCAAGGTTGAGCTGAAATTGAAGTAGGAGTTGGTTATGTCGTGGTTTATAGATTGAGTAAGGGTGAGATTCAGATGGTATTGCATCCTCAGCTCTTCAGGCTATAGAAAGTCATAATAGATGGGCACCTACCCCTAGTTGTTGCTAAGTAAGCCCAAACCTCAATTCTTAATCAATAAAACCCACAACTTACATAGTTTCCTGTCAAATCATCCGTTCCAATCTGTGTGAATCCTTGATAGATATGAAGCTTATCTTTTACATAATAGACACTGACTGTTGAGTGCGGCATCATTTCTTCTCTAACGACTACTTCAAACTCACATGATGTCTCATCATAGCAATCAACAACTTGACTTTGGACATTTCCGTTGTTTGAGGATACGATGACGAATAGCTTGTCCATGTCTATTTTACCATTGACGTTGATTTTGACGATGTCGAGGAGTTTGGGTCTGAAAATATTTGACAGAAGTTAATAAAGCTTTGGCTGGTTCTGGAGCTAGGCTACTTTTAAAGCATATTGGTATTTGAGACTAAGCCTGATGTAAGCATAACCTAGTGAGGGACATCAGGCTACCAGTTTCTAGAGCTACTGAACATTTGACTGTTCCTAGGTTAAGAAACCCCAAGTAGCACTTGAAACCAGCCTAGTTCCTCTCCCTAAAATATGTCACATGCTAAAACTTACTTCTTAGGCGTATGATCGACCAGCAGAACCTTCATAGCACCCGTTGCAGCTCCAGTCAGAATCGCCTTTTTATAAATTTCACTATTTGCAAATTTAATTTCCAGGTCAAACTCAACTACACCTTTGGGTATGATAATGTTGTGCTTGGCATAGCCGTCCTCAAGTCCTAAATGTTTAATGCTTACTATTGGACGTCTACCTTTGGTTGTGTATGAATATTTTAGTTCGACATCTTCATAATGTTCCTTGACTTGCTTATCTTTGTAGTCTTTGATGAGGACTTTGACTTCGAAATTTGAGCCTGGTGTAAAGTTTGGTGGATGTAAAGGAACGACTTTGTATCTCGGATTCTTATGGACATAGAAGACTGAAGTTTTATTAAAAGTTATTCCACTTTGTGGTTCTGTAAACTTTACAATCGCTTCCAATTTGTTGATTTCTTCTATTCTTCTGACTTTTAAGCCATCCTTGATGTTGTAGCTTACTGTCACGTCTTCATCGACATTCTTAAATGTTTTTCTCGAATATTCCTGATCAGTCTTTGGATTTCTGATGATTAACTCAGCATCTCCAGTCACAAACTCACCAAATGAGTATTTAGCATAAAAAGTGACTGTCATGTCCGCTTCCAGCAAGTAGTTCTTCTCATCTGTCTCAACTTGAACCTCAAAAAGTGGCAAAACATATTTTTGCACCCCAAAGCTCTTTTCAGTTGAGAATTGTTCCTGCCTATCAACAATAGCTTGAACCTTCCAGTCACCTAGAACTGTGCTTGTACTCAATGTGAAGTTGTTCTCGAAAATTCCATAATATTGAGCCTCGAGGTCATCAAACGATTGAATTGTTCGTCCAAATGGATCAATAAAGTCAACCTTAATGTTGTTCATATGGAACGGCTTCATGTGCCTGTCAACAGCCAAAATTCTAATCTTCACTACATCTCCAGGTTTGTAGATCGGCTTATCAGTTTGTATGAATGTATAGTAGCTTCTTGGTTCCGGTGTGACTATAAATTCCTTAGTTGAGCACTGATTGTCTCTGCTATTGTATAAAGTCACTGCTAATGGCAACTTTTTATTGATGTTGACAACTTTTGTATTTTCCAGGAAGACAGTGATGAATTCGTCATTTTTAAGGATGAGATTTTTGCATTTTTCGCGAAACTCAATGCCTACTTTGTACTGTTCTGGAAGGTTTCTTGAGTAGAAGGTGATGTTGAAGTTTTGGTATTGATTGAGGTTCTTTGGTGCCCAAGTCGTCACGAACCTAAAGGATTTAGAGACAGGAATCTGAGAATGAGGATGATGTTGTGGATCACGAACAGCACATGTCTCTACTAGGCTATCCAGAGGCACCCGTGGCGCCTCTTATCAGGGTTAAAATTTGATTACTATTATGTAAATAACTGTAAGACGGAAATAACCATAATGTTTTTAAGGTCAATCCTACCACAAAACTTCACTTGGCTTCACAAACCCCCTCAAACTCGGACCCGGACCCCTTAATCCCACTAAAACTTTAATTCCCCCCAAAACTTACTATGTCTTTTCACAAAGCTTCGCATGTCTTCACAAAACTTCACATGGCTTTACAAAATATTCTTGACACCAAAATTTTCACCCCCCGACACCCATCTTGTCCCCCCCCCCCTCAGCTTCACAAATGGCTTCACATGGCTTCAGTTCTAGAGTCAGTGAATCAGTGAATTAGGCTATTATAATGTAGATGTGTCTGATGATAGTGTGCTGCTCGGGAAAGCACAGAAAAAAATCCGGATTTTGTGTTTTGCAATTGACCTTATCAGCATCATTTCTCAGTAAGTAATTTTTGATAAGGTTGACTGCGACACAAGCTGTGCACTAGTGACTTATTAACATAATACTTTTGGTTCCATTAAACCATCTGAATTAGAATAATCAACCAATGTATTATAAATATTTTCATAACCTTACCCATCATCACAATAAACACTCGAGGAGCTGCACAAAAAAATTAATAAAAACCAAAATCTCATCTCTTGACTGCACGACACCCGACGAGAGAATGAACTGAGCGGATTTATTCTTTTCTTATTTAAAACGACAAATTTGCCGGCTTTTTAATCAATTTTAATTTTTGTTTACAAAATGATTGTGGAGAGAAAGTTCTCTTAAACTCTCAGAGTAAGGCTCAGTTTGGATGCTGAACTGTAATCTTTGTTCTGTGGGGATTTCCCTGACTCTACGTCATAATAAATGTTTTGTGATTTATTTTTTTCATTTTTAATAATTTTATTGATAGCAAAAATGTAATTAATTGAGTAAGTTTGGTGATTTTTGATTAGTTCAGGTCCACATTCTGCTAACAATGCTCTTCAGGATATTTGTAGAATTCTATTGCAATATTTTCTGTAAATTTATAGATCAAAAATAGAAAAAAAATCCTCAAAGTATGTCAAAAACTTACGTTTGTTGATATAGTCGTAAACTTTTACGCCTGCAAGCTTGGCATTCTTCACATCAAAAGCTTTTCGGGCTATTACATCGACACAATATTTCTTTTCTGGTACAAAGTCATTGTAGTAAATGTAGATTAATGTTCCTCCTCGTTTTTCAGTAATTAACTGTTAGAAATATAAAGTTTTTGAAAAGCACAAGTCGATTAATCGAATATAAATCTGGTGCAGAGCCTTCATGACTTTATCACGTTGCTGGCTTCAATTAGACTGGCCAATGCAGCTTTTGGCTCACTAAGACATGTCTGGACCTCCCCTCGACTTTCGAAACGACTGAAGCTAAAGATCTTCAACTCGAACGTCAAACCTGTACTTTTTCACGCATGCGAGACTTGGAAAGTCACAAAAGCTCTTACACAGCGCATCCAAGTTTTCGTCAACAAATGTCTGAGAGCAATATGTGGCATCTACTATCCTCAAACAATAAGAAACACAGAGCTGTATGCAATGACTAAACAACAAATTATTGCAGACGAAGTTGGGAAAAGGAAATGGAACTGGATTGGCCATACATTAACGAAAGACCATCCAGACATCGCGAGACAAGCCATCTTCTGGAATGTCCAAGGAAACAGGACTACGGGCCGACGGAGAATTACTTGGCGTACAACTGTTGAACGGGAGGCAGACCAACAGAACAAGAAGTTGCAGGAAAAAGCAGTTTTGGCCCCAGAATCGAGTGCGATTCAAATGCTTTGTGGACGCCCTACGCTTCATAGTGGAGCAATAGGAACCCATCATCATCATGCCAAGGTAACACCGGCTTGGTGCCGGATTTCTTGGGCTGGTGGCTGGGTCTACCCGGGGTACCCTAAGACAAAAACTAAATTCGATATCCTTTATCAAGGAATATAAATTAAAAAAAAAATTATAGACTAGGGTCAGGTGCCCGGGTAACCCTTAAAAACCGGCCTCTAATCAATTAACCGACTTCACCAATACTAAATCAAAGTAAGAATCAAAAATGTCACTGAAAACTAAACCCAAACCCAACATCTCAATACCCAAAAAACCTACCTTAATATCACCCCTCAGCCTCTCAATATCCATAATCTCAGTATAAATATATCCACTTGGCATCTCAATCTCATAAATTGCATTCATAACTACAGAATTTCCAACATATTCAGCACAAACGTTCACAAGCCTTTCTTTGTCGTTCTTTTCTATCGGCGTGACTGTCAATTTGAACTTTCTTGTTACTTTTGGCAGTAAAATTGATCTCTCAAAAATTGTTGTGATTGAGCAGTAGCCATGTCCATTTGCTGTTGAGATGACGTCTTGGGAATATTGAGGAAATTGAATGTCTTGGAAAATTGCTGAATTTTCATCATTTATGTCTACGATTTTCTGGATATTTCTTTCATTTTTAAGCGTGACTGTCAACTGTGTTTGGTCAGTTTTGAGGTGTTTTGCAAGCTTCGCGATCGGTTCTGTTGTTAAGGCAAAGTCGTAAGTATTTGAGTAGAAAAAGTTTATGTTATGGACAGTTAAAAGCCATTTAACGATTGGCAGTGCCTTAGATATCTCGTTAAGTTGAATGTAAGCTAATGCAGCATAAGTTGAATGTCGCACTTGACATTCCAAATCATCTCGACTGACTTTGTAGCACTTTTTATTACGTCCCTGGTCAACTGAAAGCGTCTCGACCTCAACAAGCAGTCGGTGTGCATTTATTTTATCGTTGTTGAGGGCATAAGCATATGCTGCAACTGGATATCCTTCATTGTTAAGCTGCCATCTGTTTTCATTTGATTTAAGGTATTCAAAGCTTTTCTGAATCACATCATTGTAATTTTTGTCCACAAGAGTTTTAAATTTCAGGAATGGAATCAGCACAAACGCTGTTTTGAAGTAACTTGCTGCTGGAGTTCCATATTTATCCTCTGTGCTTGGAAAGTTACCGAAATTCTCAAATTCTCCATTGCTTTGCTGTCTGTCTTTTAGAAAGTCAAGTTCTTGCTGGATTATTGAGCTTTGCTTCGGAAGTGCACCGATTTCCATGGCAGATGCGATAGCTTCCAGGAAATAAGCTCGATATCCAACAGATGAGCCGTAGTTCTACAAAAATTAGAAGTTTTTGTGATGTATATTGAAGGAATTAATGGATGCTTACCCAACTTCCTGTTCGCTGTTCTAGTAATGTCTGATAATAGTCACTAAAATGCTTGGTCGATGGATTGCTTTCTTTTGCTTGTCGGTATCGGAAGTATTCGACGTTTCCTTTAAGCTTTGATGTTCTTTGCTCAAGACAATCGGTTGGATAGAATCTGTAAAATTATGAATTATAACCTCAAAAATTAAGCGTTCTAAACTCAATTCTGAGAGTCTAGCCTTAAAATCTTAGAATTCTAACCTCAAAATCTGTAAATTCTAACCTCAAAATCAGAAAATCCTAACCTGAAAATCTGTAAATTCAAACCTCAAAATCTGTAAATTCTAACCTCAAAACCAGAGAATTCTAACCTCAAAACCACAAAATTCTAACCTCAATATCGGAAAATCTTAACCTCAAATTTGAGCATTTTAACCTGAAACTTTAGAAATCCCAATCTCAAAATTTGAAAATCCTAACCTCAAAATCTAAGATTCATTACCTCAAAATTCTCAAAACTTACTCAAACCACCAAATTCTAACCTCAATATCGGAGAATCTTAACCTCAAATTTGAGCATTTTAACTTGAAACTTTAGAAATTCCAACCTCAAAATTTGAAAATCCTAACCTCAAAATCTAAGATTCATAACCTCAAAATTCTCAAAACTTACTCAAACCACTTATTTCTAACCTCAATATCGGAAAATCTTAACCTCAAATTTGAGCATTTTAACTTGAAACTTTAGAAATCCCAACCTCAAAATTTGAAAATCCTAACCTCAAAATCTAAGATTCATAACCTCAAAATTCTCAAAACTTACTCAAACCCCAAAATTCTAACCTCAATATCGGAGAATCTTAACCTCAAAATTTGAGCATTTTAACCTGAAACTTTAAGAATTCCAACCTCAAAATCTGAAAATCCTAACCTCAAAATCTAAGATTCATAACCTCAAAATTCTCAAAACTTACTCAAATCTTGAACTAAGTTCCAAAGAATTACTCATATAATCCCCACCAACAATCACATTAACTCCTTTAAGTTCCTGTGTGAAGTTTGCCCGAGACATATGTGGATTTGTAGCAACTCCATCCAACTTATAATCTTGAGTATTGATGATAAAATCTGAGACACCAGCAGGTTCGACAAGAAGCTCCTTTTCGATTTCATCATGATAAGTCACTCCATATCGTCCATATCCAATAGCTGAGACCTTCAATTTAATTTTCTTTTGAACTTTGTCGTCAAATTCATTATCAGATGGGTTCGGTCGGATGTAAAATGATATTTTCTTAACACTTTTGTGTGGAAATGGAGCTGATGTTTCTGATGAGCTGTCTTTGTTGCTATAAGATGGAGTACAAGGTTCATAAATTCCTGAAAACTCAACAAATTGAAATTCCTGTCCATTAAAATTGTCAAGTTTGACTTCAGCTTTTAGAAAATCTTCAGTTTCAATGTAGTTGAAGACCAAGATGTCAAGTCGTAGCACTTCCATGTATTTTATTGAGTACGGAAGGTCCATTCTGATGAAGAATTGATTCATGACTTTCAGATCTTGAGGTGGTGCTATGGCAAGTCCTTTGTCTTGATTGAGTGAAAAGGCAGAGATTTGCCAAGTTGTGATCGAGTCTGGTGCTATAAATTCCTTCATTGCTGTTTTTTGATTGCCAACTTCAAATGATTCAAAGATCCAAGTTTCTGGAAAGTCTTTACGGAGGACTGGAGATTCATCAGTTACTTCAGGATCTTTAGGTACAAAATAGGAAGTTGGTTCATAGAAATCTGGACTGTGCATTACATCTACTCCTGAATCAGCAAAAACAACACCAACTCGTTGCAACTCTTCTTCTGTACATTCAGTCCAAGATGTGAAGTCATTAACTATCAACTGACTTTTGCCATCATGTTCACCTAAAGCTGACGACACATCATCCTTTGTAATGTCATTGCCATCTCTGAGGAACTTCAGATTCTTGTCAAATGCCAGCAAATAAATTGTTGAATTCTCAGTCGACGAGAAGTTCATTTGGATTTTATCTTTTGGTTTGGCATCTGTTTTGGAGAGTTTGAAGTTGAGCTGCAATTATTGAAAATTAGAAGATTCATTGTTGTTGATCCTTTTAATGAACCAATAAAATTTAACTCACATGTTCGGCCTCAAACAATTCAGTTCCAATTGAAGTTGACCCTTGATAAATGTGAGACTTATCTACAACATTGTAGACTGTTACAGTTGAGTTTGGCATCATATTCTCATTTATGTCGACATAGAATTCACAAATGAGTTTGTTGTTGCAGTCCACAACCTGATATTGGATGTTTCCTAGCTTGTTTGTTGTTACTGACAGAACTTTGTCGAGGCTTGAGTCACTCTTGACGGTTATTTTGACTCTGTCATGTAGTCTGGGGCTGGAAAAGAGATTGTTTGAAAGATATTGTTTATAAAATGAGGATTTTTGGATGTTCTGTAGATGATTTAAGAGAAATTGACAACCTAGACGATTAATCCCTTCTTCTAACCTCAAACTTAACTTGACGGTTATTTTGACTCTTTCATGTAGTCTGGGGCTGGAAAAGAGGTTTTTTGAGAGATATTGTTTATAAAATGAGGATTTTTGGATGTTCTGTAGACGATTTAAGAGAAATTGACAACCTAGACGATTAATCCCTACTTCTAACCTCAAACTTAACTTGACGGTTATTTTGACTCTTTCATGTAGTCTGGGGCTGGAAAAGAGGTTTTTTGAGAGATATTGTTTATAAAATGAGGATTTTTGGATGTTCTGTAGACGATTTAAGAGAAATTGACAACCTAGACGATTAATCCCTACTTCTAACCTCAAACTTAACTTGACGGTTATTTTGACTCTTTCATGTAGTCTGGGGCTGGAAAAGAGGTTTTTTGAGAGATATTGTTTATAAAAAGAGGATTTTTGGATGTTCTGTAGATGATTTAAGAGAAATTGACAACCTAGACGATTAATCCCTTCTTCTAACCTCAAACTTTACTTACTTCTTAGGTTCATGCTCAACATCCAGTGAAGCCATTCCACCATCAACATTTCCAGGCTCAATTCTTGCTCGATATACTTCACTTTCCACATAATTCTTACTGTTTGTGAATTTTACTTCCACATGCAGTAACTCAGCCTTCTTTGGTATGTCAATGTCATAGGTAGCTACTCCATCAAGTATCGGCATGTAAGCAATTTTCCCATAATTCTCAAAATCTGATGTTGTGAACGAAAATTTCATTTCAACTTTTTCGTCCTGATTTTTGAACTTTTCGCCATTCCACTCGGTGACATGAACTGTGACTGTAAATTTTGAGTCTGGTGAGAATCTTGATGGATGGAATGGTGTGACTTTATACTTTAATCCATTGTGTACGTAAAATGTTGTAGATTTATTAAAACTGAGTCCACTTTCTGGCTCCGAATATGTCACAATAGCTTCAAGTGTTGCTACATCTGCTGTGGCGATTTGAAGGTCAAATTTAAGATTCGTTGAGAATGACTCGACAAGGCCAACATTCGAGAATGATTTCTTCAAATATTCATTCCCAGTTGCTTGATTCCTGATGAGCAGCTCAGCATTTCCAGTCACAAATTCACCAAATGAATATTTTGCATAAAACACAAACTTTACATCATGTTCCAGCAAGTAATGCTGCTGATCTGTCTCAACGTTGACCTCAAAAAGTGGCAAAATGTATTTTTGGTTAGTGAAGATCTTTTCAGTTCCATATTGTTCCTTTCTATCTACAACTGACTTGATCTTCCAGTCACCAACAATCGTCCTCGAACTTAATTTAAAAGTATTTTCAAATAATCCCAAAAATTGACCTTCGATGTTGCTGAATGTCTCAATAATTCGACCATATGGATCAAATATGTCAACTTTGAGGGTATTCATGTGGAATGGCTTCATGTCATTATCAATAACTAATATTCTGAACTTAACTTCATCTCCTGGTTTATAAATCGGCTTGTCAGTTTGGATGAAAATGTAAAAATTTCTCTGTTCTGGGAGAATTTTAATTGATTTTGTTGAACATTGATGCTTGGTGCTTCCAGAAGTAGTCACAGATCTATAAAAGGTTAAGTTTAATGTTGAACCAGACCTCGCCATATATTCTCCATTTTTAATGTCAATCGTCTTAAATTCATCGTTTTTGAGGACAAATTTCGAGTTTGTGCTGCGATATTGAATGCCAACCTTGATGTCATCCGGAAGATTTGATGAGAATATTGTTGTGCTGAGTAGGTTGCCATCTGTTATGCGAACTGGTGCCCAAAATGCTATGAATCTGTGGGGTGACAATATTATTACAGAACTGAATGATTACAGGCTTAACTGTGTCCAGGCGCATAGCCAGGGGGGGGGGGGGATTTGCCCCCCCCCCCCTATTCGAATTCCTGGCTACGCTCCTGACTGTGTCTGCATCTGCTGATCTAGCAGAAACCTAAATCACCTTACCTATCATCTCCAGCAACAACATTAAAGATTAAAACAGCTAAAATTCTAGAGAAAACTTTCATGTCCTTTTAATCTGAAGTTTACTGACAGTATGAATGCTGATTCTATAAAAAAAACTCACTCTTTTGCTCTACTGACTCTCCTTATCAGTGCATCAACTAAGTTGCGTTCCTTAATCATGTTACTTTCATTTCCTGATAAGTTCAATGTGGGTTAGCTTGGAAATAGTCACATTGTAATTAAAAATTGAGGGTATCAAGCTGACAATAACCTCAAAATGAGTCACTCAAACTGCAATTTGGAAGCTCGCTAACCTCAAAAGTTTAAAAGATTAAGCAAGAAAGAGCCTTAAGACTCTTAATCAATCTCAATAAATCCTATTCAATGGTACAATTTTAAACTTTGTACTTTTTGTACTCAAAAATTTGCTTTGCATATTTTTATTTCCGAACTTAATTTTACTTTAAATTAATCTGCTTGTTTTCTGATATGATCAGCTGTTGATTGCCTTACTAAAAATGAAAAAAAAACATCTGTTTTGAATGTAATCATCATTTGAACATCTTTCACATTGCTTTTTCTACATTCTGGTGTTGTGGCAGAGTTGGAATTTAGTTTAGCTGTTGAATAGTTTTTGATTAAGGTTATTTTTTAGTCATCCTTAGTCAAAATGATGAGAGTTTTTGATTTGAAAAAGAAGTTTTCTTAAGATACTTGCTTATTTCCTTGGCTCGGGCACACTTGGGCTCATTGCTGCGTTCAGAGATCTTCTAAAGACAGCCTTATTCTTCGAAAACTGCTGACATTTTGGGATACTAAGGACTCTAGCTTTTTTAAAAAGGTTTGAATCAGTTTTGTGCCTTGAAATGTCAAAAATAATAAACGTGCGCTATATTTTGGGAAACAGATTAATGTCTCTCTCAAATATGGCGCATGTTTGTTAAAAATTTGACATTAAAATACCAAAAAATACAAAACTGAGAAAATTTGAATAAAAAACAATAAAATTAAAAACCAATGCTCCACCTCTGCCTACCAAATTTTACACAGCCATACAACATTTTTCCAGTCGAAAGCTCACGATGATTAACAATGAAAAAATACTTTTTTTATGAGTAGAAATGTGTTAATAAAAGCTGCTTATTAACGAAAATCTTTTCTTCATTTTCTAATTGAATTTTGAGTTGACAAGTGGGAGGAGCAGTTGAGAGGTTAAAGTAGAATTTTCGAGGTTAAGTTCAAATTAAGCTGTGATGTTTTGAGGATAATAAGACGATTGGAACCAAGGCTGTGAAGAAATTGTGCTTAAAATACTAGAATTAATTGTGATTTCTGATATTTTTAAGAATTCTAACCTCAAAAATGGAAAAGAGCGTATCCAAGCAATGCCTCAACGCTTACGCTAGCACAGCAACAATCCATGGCGTCCGCTACATCATCGGTGACTCAAACGAGTCAAAAAAGTCATACAGAATCTTTTGGATTCTTGCCTTCATTTGCTCAATCGTTGGACTAGGATATTATGCCCATGGAGTCTACATGAAATGGAGCATCGAACCAGACATTGGATTAACCGTCCGCATGCGTCCAATGAGGGAAATTCCATTCCCTGCAATCACAATTTGCTCACCTTTATTTGCTCGAGATAGTATGGCAAATTTTTCACGATTCTATGCTGAATATACAGCAACAAGTGGAAAAATTCTTCCATATTTAACACCGGAAGAGCAAAATTACTTGTCAGCAAATATTCAAGCTTGCACGCCAACATCATCACCGATGATTGAAAAAAGTTGCCGAAATCGAACAGAAAAAAATATTCCAAAATTATTACGAGAATCTTCACTTAAAGTTCCCGAGCTATTTGCCGCATGCCGATTCAAAAAGAATTATATGAAATGTGAGAAAATGTTAAATCGCGTGTTAACAAACAACGGATATTGTTACACATTAAACATGCAAAGCTATCAGACGATCTTCAATGAAAATGTTATAAGCCGCGATTTTGATTCGTTTAAAAGAGAAACAATTGCAAAATCATTCGATAAAGAAAATCAATTGTATAATGAGAGCTTTAATGATGCTGATGGAAACATGACTGGTGAGTTTGGTGTGGGATGGGGTTAGTAATGTGCAGCATTGGGTCTGCTGGCTCACAAATTGTTTCTAGTGAGGGGCAAGTGTGTCTAATAGCTCTCAAACTGTGTCTGACTGGTCCATTGGCTCACATTCTGTGTCTGACTAGTCCACTGGCTCACATTCTGTGTCTGACTGATCCATTGGCTCACATTCTGTGTCTGACTGGTCCTGTGTGGGGCCGTTCACTCATTACGTTACGCAAAAAAAAACGACTTTTTTCACTTCCCTCCGCTCCTTGTTAAAATATGTTACAACTCACAACCCCCCCCCCCCCCCCTGAACATTCATAATTTTCGTGAACTTTTTTTTAAAAGACAGGCGACTTTTAGAACGTTACATACTTCTTGACCCCCCCCCCCCCCCCAAAATGCCCCCCTATTGGCTCACATTCTGTGTCTGACTGGTCTATTGGCTCACAATCTGTGTCTGACTGGTCTATTGGCTCATATTCTGTGTCTGACTGGTCTATTGGCTCACAATCTGTGTCTGAATGCTCTATTGGCTCATATTCTGTGTCTGACTGGTCTATTGGCTCATATTCTGTGTCTGACTGGTCCATTGGCTCACAATTTGTGTCTGATTCTTCTCAAAATCTATGAACTGACTCATCAATCGTTCTTAGAAGCTCACTAAAGTCCTAAATCTCTTTTCAGACCCCAATCAATGGTCCCTCGACACCGGTTACATCACAAACGACGACAATGTCTTTCCCATCAGAGCAATTAAGATCAACCAGCTAACAGTCTACATGAAACTTACAGAATCTGACTCCACAAACCTCTGTTTATCCCAAGGCAAAGGCTACAAGATAATCTTCCATCTCCCAAATGAGATTCCAACGCCATTCCATGATGAATACTTTATCTCATTTGATTACGAGCGAATGATGACTCTGACAGCAAAATCATTTAGGAACAACCCAGAGATGAGGAAATATGCACCGGAATCGAGACGTTGCTATTTTGACGGTGAGCGAAGCTTGAAATATTTTAAATCGTACACAAAAGCTCATTGCGATTATGAATGCATGACGAACTACACGTTGAAACAATGCGGCTGTGTTAAATTTTCAATGCCTCGAGATGATGACACGCCTGTTTGTGATTTAGACAAGACAAAATGTTATTTTAAGGCGATGATGGAGTGGCCTGATAAAGATGATGAGTCTCAGCAGGGGGATGGAAAGATGTTGATGCCTTGCAACTGTTTACCAAGTTGTAGTGACATTAAGTATAGCGTTAAGTTGGATAAGGAAGCTATATTGGATTCGGCTATTAGATTGGCGCATGTTAAGAATAAGAGTGAGAGTAATGTGTATGCTAGGATGGCTATAAGGTTCAATGATCATTCGATTGATGAACAGGAGAATTATGTGGCTTATAAGTTGCAAAATTGTGAGTATTCGATATGGTTTTTGGATTTTTTGCACTGCTTCCTTAGGTTTGGAAATGTACAGTCATATCTAGGTTTGGTACGGCATTTTTATATTAGGCAATGGAAGGTAAGGTCAACTTTTTTGTCAGTTTCACACCTTTGGGTCATATCTAGGTACGGCAGGGCACACTTTGAACCTAAGATACAACATTGACCACTTATTAAACTCTAATGTGACAAAAACACATCTAAATTCTAGTCATTGCCGACTTTGGAGGTCTCCTTGGACTCTTTATGGGATGCTCAATATTATCAATTGTTGAAGTCATCTTTCACTGCATCAGAGCTTGCTTTAAGAAAGGACAAGTTCAAGAAATTGAAATTCAATCAGTTCCACTTGAAGATGCTATTAAAAATGGGTAAGTTTTTAGGATTTTTGATGGATTTATGATGAAACTGACTACAGGTTTGAAGTGGCTCAGCAGAAGATTCAATGTTTATCTTTTAATCAACGTTAAGTTTAGCATTCTCTGAAATTCACTAATTCTTATTTTAGGACGAAGCTATCAAACCAGAGCTTCCAAATGAACTCAACAAATGGATGCTATTGCAAGAATAATGAAGGATTTGAGAGCTTAAAGTGAACATATTGCTCAAGATGCACCATTGGACAATAGCTGCTTAGTTCTTGTTTTCTTTAGCATTATTTAATTTATTATGTAATAAATTTTAAAAATAAAATTTGTAATTATTAAAAAACATTTTGAGGCTTTTGATTTGCATTTCAGTGTGATTTTTGAATATAGATAGGAATATTCAGTAAGCACGTGTCAGTAATCATTTGTTTTGATGCTTCATCTAAGGGGCTGCTCATTTATGACGTCCAAGCGCGTAACCAGGTGGGGATTTGGGGGACAAATCCCCTGATTTTAACAGAAGTTTCTTCATTTTGCTAGAAGTTTTATGAAAAAAATCACAAAAATTCAACCACCCCCCCCTCCCCTCCCTCTGAATTTTCCACAAATTTTTTTTTTGTTCCTCTTCAAATTCCTGGCAACGCCCCTGATGACGTCCATGAAAGGGGGGGAGGGGGGAGGAGGAAAAGTGGGTCAGAAAGAAAGAAACAAATTTCTTATTCTTTAATTTATTGTCGTTTTTTAAAAAATGACTTTTATTTTGCACGTCATAAGTGAACCACGGCTAAGTTCATTAACTTGTTTATATATAGAGAAGAAAAAGTGATGCTCCAATGAATGTTTGTCAACTGACTTACAATCAAGGGGCATTCGCAGCAGTTCATTCTTGGTTAATGACAGGTTCTTGACTAGTTCCTTTGCTAAAAGCTTAAGTTTATCCAACGATAATGATTAAGCTATGATAAAGTGATCTTAAATGTACCTGGGGCGCGTATCTAGGAGGGTCTTGTCCTCCCCTTAAGCCACAGCGAGAGTAAGGATCAAAACGCTTAAAAGGGGGACAAGGCCCTCCTGGCTTTGCCCCTGATGTACCAGAAATAGGGGCGTAGCCAGGAATTTGAAGGGGGGGGGGGGGAAATTTTTTTTTGTATGGAAAAATTTAAGAAGGGGTGGAATTTTTGTTTTTTTTTTCATAAAAAACCCTAGCAAAATAAAGATGATATATGTTTACGTTGGTTGATTTTCCCCTAAATCCCCCCCCCCCTGGCTACGCGCCTGACCAAAAATGCATCTATACCATACCTTCCATATCAACATCGCAGAATTTTCCCTCAAGAACATCCACTCAATTTTGTAGTATTTTTGAATCAATCTTTAAAGTTCCCACAACTCTAGCTTGATTGTAAATACTGAAATCTTATCGAAATATGATTATTAATTAAGCAGATCAAAGCATGCAGTTCTCATGCTTAACAAGTGCATTATTCAAATTCTTTCCCTAATTTTTGTAGATCTTTATCAAAAATCTTTATTATAGTATAAAAGATGTTAGATGTTTCCACATTTACAACATTCAATTGAGTACAATTGAAGAGCTTATAACAGTTTTCTTAGTCAGTCGAACGCAACCCACCAACAGTCAGCAACTAATCATCAATTCAACACCTCAAAACCATGCTAAAGCTCATCATCATCACCATCTCAATAGGATTAGCATCCACAACAGTCTACAATTATTGCAGCCACAATTTGTGTTCATTAACTGAATATAAGCACATCACGTGTACAGCCACTGGTGACTTGAGTCCATCATGCTCATCAAATGCTCAAATTATTGACCTTACTGGTGCTGATAAGAAGAAAATTTTGGATTTACACAATCGATACAGGAACAGAATTGCGAATGGTGATGAGTCTGGATTTAGCTCAGCTGCAAAGATGGCTACTTTGGTGAGTATTCCACATTAAGTAGATCCTTTTGAAGCTTTAATTAATTGTTGATTAACTTTCCATACAGGAATGGGACGACGACCTCGCTGACTACGCTGGCCTCAACGTTCGTCGCTGTCGAGATGAACACGATTGTCACAACACACCAGAAATGAAATATTCAGGTCAGAATCTCTTCTTTGAAGCCAAAACTGATACCTTTGAACGTGACATTTCGTCCTTTATCGACTCTGCATTCCAATCTTGGTGGGATGAGAGAACTTCAGCCTCACAAGACGACATCAACTCATGTTGTGGTGCTCCTGGAAAGATCCCACATTTCCTTATGGTTGTCAGTGACCGAGCTAATCGAGTTGGATGTGCTTTGTCGCAGTATGAAGGTCCATATGGAAAGACAACTTACATTGCTTGCAATTATTCATTCACAATCATAACTGGACAGGCTGTTTATGAGACTGGCGAGCCAGCAAGCAAATGTCAAACTGGAGCTAATGCAAAATATCCAGCATTGTGCAGTTCACAGGAGGAAGTTGATCCAAATAAAGTTTTTTAAGGTTATGGTCATTGATTAGAGTCCGTTCCGGTTGTTTTGAATTAAAATGCATTAGATGCAAAGTTTGTTCGATTTGTAAAATTGTTCAATAAAAAAAATGATTGATTTTGTACTTTTATAATTGAAAGCTCAGCATGTTAGCTGCATGCAAACTAAAATTGATGAACTGAATTTTTTGTGAATTTAATTAAGTGGGGTGAGATTGAGAGGGGTTGAAGGCATTCTAGGAGATGGATGTACTGGAATTTTGCTATAAATACAGGGAAATTTATAGAATTTTTATTATTTTGTGGTCGATGTAATAAGAAAATAATGAAGTTCATTGCAATATTAAGTGCTATACTAGGTTAGTATCTTTATGTTATATACATTTAGTCACTTGATCCGTTTCTTCGAGTTTACCATTGCCAAAGCTGAGGTATACTGTAGGAACTAGCTCAAGTATCAAGCACCAAACAGGAATACCCGAATGGCACAATTCGGTTAATCGTTAAGAAATCTGGCATTAATCCGGTGTAACTCAGGCATGGTGCTGGATTCAAATCGAAGCCAGAATCATGCCAGCTCGGTGCCAGATTTCCATTCGATAAACCGAATTGTGCTATTCGGGATAAGACTCCACGTCAATCCCATCCTAGGCTATTCGTCAATAATTCCAAAATTTAATTTATTTCAGTTGTTACGCTAGCCAGCGATCATAATCAGCAGCATCAAGCTGGATGGTTTCGTCAGAACATTCGAACAAAAACTCAAATAAGTTCATCAAGTTCATCATCAGAAAGTGACGAACAGTTCCCAAAAATCTTAAAAACAAAAATCTACAACTCCGATCGCTGCATTCTCGTCCCAGAGCCAACATCAGATGAAATCAATGAATATCATCAATGGGCTGAACAACAAGACAAGCAGTACTCATCCGAAGCTGAAGAGTCATGCAGGATGATTAATGTCATTTACAAACTTCGTGACATTCATGCACACAACAAGAGATTCGATGAAGGCAAAGAGACATTCAAGAGAGCATTAAATCACCTCTCAGACTTGACAAGAAAGGAATTTAAGACGAAACTTCTGTTAAAGGAAACCCGGGACAAAATCTTACCACAAAGTAATGTTCAAAATCTACCAGAGTTCCCAGATCCTCGACCATCAGTTGATTACAGAAATGAGAATTTGGTTAGTCCAGTTGGACAGCAAGGCAGATGTGGATGTTGCTGGGCTTGGTCAGCTGCTGCTGTTATCGAAGGTCAACTTAGAAAATGTGGAATTACTTCAGAGTCAGTTTCAACTCAAAACATGCTTGACTGCGTTGCAAAGACCTACGACGGATGTGCTGGTGGAAATCCTTAGTAAGTTGCTGGAATTTTTGAATTAAATTAAATTTAGTTGATAATTTTTGGATTTATAGCGAAGCTTTTAGCTATGAAAAGACTGGAGGAATTGTAACAGCTGCTAAATATCCTTATGCCGCTAAGCAGAATCAATGTGTTTACAACAAAAATGACATTATAGCTTATGTTGATCAATCATTTAGACACATTTTTAAGAAAAGTCCACATGTTGAGCCATACATGAGGTGGGTTTTGCTTTGAATTATACTCAAGATTGCACCTCATTAAACACTAACACATTGTTGTCCAAACTGTGTGACGCGGCACGCTAGCGCCTACCAGTTAAATATCACAGAGCAGGACTGTCTTGTCCTCCCAAAACGTTTTGAACTGCAACTAAAGCACGGTTAAAAACGTTTATGAGGGGGACAAGACCCTTCTGGCTACGCACCTGTCACAGAGGCAATAATAGAATTAGCCTTAGTAGGTGCTAGTTTAAGGGAAGCACCAGCAACCAAAAACAGATTGACATTCACAAAAACATTATTTATTTCCCAGAAAAATTGTCTCATCAGTCGGTCCAATATCAGCAGTCATTTATGCCAATAAAAATTTCCAGGATTACGCATCCGGTGTCTACTCATCGACTGACTGCAACAATTCATTACCTAACCATGCTGGTGAGTAGATTAAAATATTAATTAAAGCTTTATTTAATGTTAAATTCTTACAGTAACAATCGTTGGATATGGAACTGACCCTAATTTTGGTGATTATTGGTAATTTTGATCACAAAATTGAAAAAAGCTTTGATTGATGAATTTTTTTTAAATTCCAGGCTTCTGAAGAACAGCTGGAGCAATAAATGGGGTGAAAATGGATTCGGAAGGGTCGCCCGAGGCAAGAACATGTGTCTTATTGAGAGCAGAGTTTATTATGCTCAGATAACGGACCAAAATAGGAATGTTTGTAAATTGTCATGAGATAATGTACTTTGCTGTGAATGTATAGCTTGCTCTAAATGTAAAGCTTGCATAAATGAATGTTTATAGTGAAAAATAAATGAAACCTTTTAAACATTTTGCAATTTCATCATTTTTATTCTGATTGATAATCCTCGAGTAGATTAGAACTGCTTCATATAAATTCAGTCGCACTCAACTCAGCAGTCTCATTCAATAAGTTGTGTAGAAAATGAAGATTTTAATTATTCTAAGTGCTGTGCTTTGTGCACTGGCTAGTGATATTCATAGTTCAGGTTGGGCTCGTCAGAATATTCGTTCCAATAATCACATTGGCTCATCAAGTTCCTCATCAGAAAGCGATGAACAAGCTTCAAACATCTTAAAAACTATAGTCTACAACCCAGAACAATGCCATCTAGTTCCAGTCCCAACAACTGAAGAAATCAATAGATTCCGCCAATGGACTCAAAAGCACAACAAGCACTACCCATCAGAACATGAGAAATTATGCAGGATGATCAACGTCGTCAAGAAACTTCGTGATATTCAAGCTCACAATAAAAGATTCAAGGCAGGCAAGGAGACATTCACACGTGCTTTAAATTATCTTTCAGACCTGACTAGACAGGAAATGGAAGCAAATATTCTAATTGACGACTGGAATATAAATTCACATTATATTAGCTATTTAGAGAACTTGCCAGAACCAAGAGAATCTGTCGACTACAGAAAAGAGAACTTAGTTGGACCTGTTGGAACACAAGATAATTGTGGTAGTTCCTGGACATGGTCAGTCGCAGCAGTTTTAGAAAGTCAATTAAAGAAATGTAGAATTTCACAAGAAGCTGTTTCCGTACAAAACATCCTCGATTGTGTTGAACAGTACCCGAAAGTATGCAGAGGTGGAAGTATTTTGTAAGTTCTTGTCAGTGTTGCATTCTGGCTATTTGTCTGGATCAGATAAATTCTGAGACAGAAATTTCTTCATAAAATCGATTCTACATGTAGAAAGAAAAAAACCATCTACATGTAGATTGTGTCTACATGTAGAATCTGTCTACATGTAGATTTAATGTAGATGTCTACGATTCTACATTCTTCTCTGATGTAGACCTGGAAAAAAATGTAGAATTATAGACATCTACATCGAATCTACATGTAGACAGATTCTACATGTAGACACAATCTACATGTAGATGGTTTTTTTCTTTCTACATGTAGAATCGATCTTTATGAAGAAAGTTTCTTAGCTAGACAAAAACTATTGAAGAATCTACATTCTTCATCTAGTGTAGACATCTACATTTGCAACACTGGTTCTTGAAACTATCAGTGGTTCACAACCTTTTTTGTGCCACGGCACAAATTTATGATTAGCCATGACCAAAACTGCATATCGCACACAATTCGTGGGATTTATCGACTAGTGCCGTGGTACATGGGTCGGCCATCACTGACATAAATGCTTGATTTTCATAAATTCCTTTACTTTACAGCAAAGCTTTGTTTCACGGAACAACTGGTGGAATTTTACCAGCCAGGAAGTATCCATATCAAGAGACAAGCAATGGCTGTGCTTACAACGAAACTGACATTATTGGCTACGTAAAGGAAGCATTTGAATATCATTCTCACAGATTTACAGATTTTGAATTGATAATGAGGTAAGTAAAAACGTAAATGGAAGCTCCAAATTGGCTCCTGTTAATGAGTATCAATTAATTCGTTTAGAAAACTTGTCTCATTCGTCGGTCCAATATCAACTGTCTTATATGCTGATGAGAAATTCGAAAACTACAAATCTGGAGTCTTTACATCGAACAATTGCAGTTCAACCAAACGAAACCATGCAGGTGAGCACCAAAAGCTTTCAGGAAAATTTTAAGAATAGTGAATTAAACTTTCGTTTCAGTAACAATTGTTGGATATGGAACCGACCCTCAATTCGGTGACTATTGGTAAGTTCTTTCACTAAGATCATCAAAATTTAAAGTTCTAAGTTTGATTTTTATTCACAGGCTTCTGAAAAACAGCTGGGGACCAACATGGGGCGATAAAGGCTTCGGAAAAATTGCGAGAGGCTCGAATGTATGTCAATTTGAAAGCAGCGTTTATTTTGCTGAAGTAACGGACAATAAAAGAAATGTTTGCAGCTTGGAAAAGCATTAAAGTGGACAATTTATGATTAATGATAAAAAAAACACGACTTATGTGGAAGGTCAATAGCTTCCGGTTTTGACTTATGTTAGATTACAGTTCTTAAATAAATATCACAAAACAAAAAAGTTGCAGTAATATTTGATTTTGATTATAGGCTTCAATTGGCTTAGTTTGAAGCTGAATAGTTCATATTTTGTGGCTGAATGAAAATTCAATAATTATTGCAAAGGTTGCAGTAATATTCGATTTTGGTTCTAGGCTTCAATTGGCTTAGTTTGAAGCTGAATAGTTCATATTTTGTGGCTGAATGAAAATTCAATAATTATTGCAAAGGTTGCAGTAATATTTGACTTTGATTCTAGGCTTCAATTGGCTAAGTTTGGGGCTGAAAAGTTCAAATTTTGTGGCTGAATGAAAATTCAATAATTATTGCAAAGGTTATATAGTCGATTTTTCTCCTTTTTATTATTGCAATTAGTTTAGGAATATTAATCATCTAATAAGTAATTCTACAATAGATTCTATCATCGATCAGGATCGCGAGCCTCAAACTCATCACAACGTGTAGTAACACGTCGCTTGTCTGGAACCCTTTCACATTATTATTTCCAGTGACATCAAAGGCATAACAAGAAGGAGATTGAGTTTGGACTACAAAAGACAAACCAACTGATTCAAAGACATTTACTGCAACATTTTAAATTTTATTTATTTATTGACTGTTCATTATCAGACTTTCAAAGTCACGAACAATAATAAAGTCTCATTTTTTATTCAAAACTGCAGACGTTTCTATTTTTGTCAGCAATTTGAGCAAAGAAGACTCTGCTTTCAAAACGACACATGTTTTTGCCACGTGCGATTTTTCCGAATCCATTTTCACCCCATGTTGTTCCCCAACTGTTCTTCAGGAGCCTAGGATATAAAATTAAATTCATCAGTTTAAAGCTTTTGTCGATTTTATGACTTTACTTACCAATAGTCACCAAACTTAGGGTCAGTTCCATATCCAACGATTGTTACTGAAAGAATTCAATCAAATGAATTGATGAGTTATTAAATTAAGACGTACTCACCAGCATGATTTGGTGCCTTTCTGTTACAGTCTGTTGCTGTGAAGATTCCAGTAGCATAATCTTCAAAGTTATCATTGGCATAAAGGACAGTCGATATAGGACCGACTGATGAGACAATTTTTCTGTGGATTAAAATTGAAAATTTATTTATTTTTGGATGTAAATTGTCACTTTTGGTTGAGTTTTTGGCATCAAGATCAGCTTAGACCAGTGTTGTTCAACCTTTTTGAGCTAAGGCACACCAAAATGTTAAGCCATGACCAAAGTCGCTAACAGTAAGTGGCTTGGATCATTTTCAAAAACTTTCAACGGCACATCAGTGTGCCGCGGCACACAGTTTAGACAACACTGGTTAAGACTCTTTGTTGACCTTCTTCTCGGTCCACCGCCTCCTACTCCCTGCTTAATATCAAACATGAAGGCCCCAGCAACTAGCCTTAGATGCAAAAAACTAAGTCTTACCTCATGTAAGCTTCAGCAGCTGGAATTTCTGGGAAGAAATATTCAAAAGGCTGATCAACATAGCCAATAATATCACTTCTATTGAAAGAGCATCGATGTTGCTTGCCAAAATAAGGATACTTTGCAGCTGTTAGGATCCCGCCAGTCTTTTCGTAGGCAAAAGCTTCACTGTAAATAGAAATAGCATTAAACTTTAGAAAAATTCAGGAGCCACGAGGAAGTCACATTCTTGCTCCGCAACTTACTATGGAATTCCACCTTTACATCCACGACAGAACTTAGTCACACAATCAACCATATTTTGAACCGACACTGGCTCTTCTGAGATTCCACATTTTCTCAACTGTCCTTCCAAAACGGCAGCACTTGACCATGCCCAGCAGCTTCCACACTTTCCTTGCTGTCCAACTTGTCCAACATAGTTTTCATCTCTATAGTCAACAGCTTCTCTTGCTTCTGGGAATTCTTTTAAATTCTCAAGACTGTCTCTTGGTCGGTTCCAGTCGAAAACATCTTCCATTAAAATTTGTGTCTTAACTTCCTTTCTTGTCAAGTCTGAGAGGTGATTTAATGCTCTTTTGAATGTCTCCTTGCCTTCATCGAATCTCTTGTTGTGTGCATGAATGTCACGAAGCTTATAAATCATATTAATCATCCTGCATGACTGCTCACGTTCTGATGAGTACTGCTTGCTGTGCTGTGCAGCCCATTGATGGAATTCATGAAGTTCATCAGCTGTTGGTTCTGGGACGAGTAAACAGCGTTTTGGGTTGTAAGTCTTTGTTTTTAAGATATTTACTAGCTGTTCGTCACTTTCTGATGAGGAACTTGATGAGCTGATGTGATTGTTGGATCGAATATTCTGACGAATCCATCCAGACGTTTGTTGTTGATGGCGATCGCTGGCTAATGCGCATAGCACAGCACTTAAAATAAATAAAATTTTCATTTTATTAGCACCAGTTGAGCCCAGTGACTGAGTGGCGACTTAAAAGCTTACAAGTTAAGCCTTGAATTTATATTTAAGTTGACGAGACAAAAGGAGCCTGGAAGGGGTGCAAATCCTGATTTTTTACAAAGTCAAGAATTTAGAGCTTGTTTATGTCCTAATTGACACAATCTGACTTACAACTCGTCTATTTAATGTAAGCTTCTAGCTTCAGACCTCGCCTGAGAAGGTCGTCGATCACAAATCATCTGAATTGAATTTTTCTAAACAAAGAAAACTCAAAGATCGAGTAAAACTGCAAAGCTAGTGAAACAAAGCTAGTTAACAAATTAGGACACAAACAAGCTCCTGGTCAATAATTTTATAAAATGATGTGAAAATAGTTTTGGGTGGGATCCTGGATTATTATAAATTCAATGATCTAACTGCTAATCTTTCAGTTGCATTACACTTAGCAGACTGAATCTATAGGAGCTGAGAACATGAAGCTTTTGATCATTTTGAGTGCTGTAGTACTTGCACTAGCTAGTGACCGCAGTAATCACCATCAAAGATCTAATTGGGTTCGTCAAAACATTCGATCCAACAATCACATCAATCCATCAAGTTCATCATCAGAAAGTGACGAACAATCACCAAAAATCCTAAAAACTAAAGTTTTCAATCCAAACCGCTGCAATCTCGTCCCAGAGCCAACATCCTATGAGTTGAGTCTCTTCCGTCAATGGGCTGCAAAGCATAACAAGCACTACTCAGAATCCGAACAATCTTGCAGATTAATCAATGTTATTAACACAATTCGTGACATTCATGCTCATAATCAGCGTTACGATGAAGGCAAGGAAACTTACAAGCGTGGATTAAATCATCTTTCAGACTTGACAATGCAGGAAATGCGTGATCGAATTTTAATGAAAAAGCCAAAAAGCCAACTTGCTCATAGTAAATTAAGTGACTTGCCATACTTACCAGATGCAAGAGAGAATGTCGATTACAGAGATGAAGGCTTAGTTGGACCAGTTGCACAGCAAGGATATTGTGGAAGTTGTTATGCATGGTCAAGTGCTGCTGTTGTTGAAGGACAATTGAGAAAATGTAACATCTTTAAAGAACCAGTTTCTGTCCAAAATATGGTCGACTGTCCAACGGAAGGATGTGAAAAATGCAAGGGTGGACTTCCTTAGTAAGTTGACTTTGGGATAATTGTATGGATTTTTTTAATTAATTTTAATAAATTTTTCAGTTTTGTGTTTGAATATCAGAAGCATGGTGGAATCTTGCCAGCTGACAAGTATCCATATTTGGACAGAAACGGAACCTGCAACTTCAGTAAAAGTGACATCATTGCTTATGTTGATCAAGCTTTTGGATTCAACTTCATGCCTATTAAAAGAAGACATGAATATATCAAGTAAGTCAAAGCCAAAAGTTCCAAATTGACAAACTTAACCTCAAAAATTTTTAATTTAGGAAAATTGTCTCAATTGTTGGTCCAATCTCAGTTGGTCTGTGTGCTGAGCAAAGCTTCAAAGATTACGATTCTGGTGTTTATAGCAACGACAGTTGTGGTGATGAAATGAATCATGCTGGTAAGCTGCTAAAGTTTTGACATTTTTAAGATTTTTTTTAAATTATGAAAAAATTAATTTTCAGTAACAATTGTTGGATATGGATCAGACCCACGTGATGGTGACTATTGGTAGGATTTTTTCATTATTTTTTGAAGGTTTAACTTTAATTGAGCAACTTTTTGAATCTCCACAGGTTGATCAAGAACAGCTGGGGCAAGTACTGGGGTGAAAATGGCTACGGACGAGTCGCAATGGGCAAGAACATGTGCCAGTTCGAAAGTGAAGTTTACTTTGCACAACTCCGTGACTCAAGAGGAAAAGTTTGTGAATTATTTGATTTTTAAAATGTTCAATCTACCAAAATAAAACAAAACAATCCTAAATGAAATTGAATCTATTTCAATGAATTTCAAAAAATAAAATTGTTAAGTTTCAGATCAATTATAATTCCTTAAAGTTTTTAAACATTTGAACCTTTACAAAATTTAATTATTTCAGAGAACAGTTAGGATTCATTTGCTACTTGAGCAAAGATCGGCTTTTTAGACCTCCGTTGTTGCAAAATTGATAGGTTAAAAAAGTTTGTTGTTCAATAAGTTTGAACAAATGAAGCAGCTTCCTCTTCCTGCCTAAAAAGCAAACATAAGCTCAAGTCTAATCCGAAACCTGATTTTCACATCATTCTCAGCAGTAATAAGGCTTAAAATGCTTAGATGATGCTTTGAAACTCGATTAAACTAATTTAAATTATGTTAAGATGTCCAACTAGCTCCAGGCCTCTTCTCAGCTCAATATGCAAAATACTGGAGAGTTTTGGACATAAGAAGGAAGGAGATCTTTTCAAGATCAGGAGCAACGCAGAGTTATATCAGCTCTTCACAGAAGCTGATATCGTAAAACGAATCAAAGTAAACAGGCTCCGATGGGCAGGACATGTATTGAGGAGACCTGTGGAAGCTCCATTAGTGAAGTGTAGATGGCAAGCGAGCACGTGAAAAACCAAAGAACTCGTAGAAGGAGGCTGTTGAAAAAAAAAAAAGCGGTAGCCAGCAAAGTGCCAGCTTCCGGCGACATTTAAGGGAGGCAATGGATCAAAATTGATCTGTACGGTCAACGAAGTAAGTAAGTAAGAAGAGAGTTTTGCTGAATAGTTTCAACGTTCATCTCGAGGATATCGTCCCAAAACCCCAATCAGCATCACCCCAAGACAGTAGTGTGGCTTCCTAATTGGAAGATCAACATCACACCAGCTTATCAAAGTGATCAAATCAGCAAAAGAAAACTTAAACAACAAAAGTCAACAGGCATAATCTTCCTGGATGTAGAAAAAAGCATTTGACAGAATCTGGCATAACGGACTCTTGTACAAAATGCTCAAACTGAGATTTCCACTGCCACTTATAAAAACAACGATGGCAAGATCTAGAGGAAGACCAAAGAACATCTGGATTGGATGTGTTGATAAGGATGCTAGAGTCCTTAATATCCCGAACTGGCAGAAGGTCTCGAGGGATAGAGCTGTCTTTAGACGATCTCTGAACTTTGCAATGGGTCCACATGCACCCTAGCCAAGGAAGTAAGAAGTAAGTACTTATAAAAACTGAAAGATCCTTTCATCAGTGAAAGATTAGATCCCATTTTAGTGCAAAGTAACTATGTTTTAGCTGATTGGCACAAATAAGTCATAAACTAGAAATTGATGAATGGACGTTCTATTTTCTAAAATTCCTTTGTTTCCTTAAAACTGCAGATCTAAGATTAAGAATTTAGGATGATGCACATGAAAGTGCTGAGTCAAATTAATACTTGCAATTTTTGCATTTGTTTTTATTGAAAAGTTCAATGAAATCAGAACATCCTTTTTAAGTCTGACGATTTAGGAATCATATTTAGTGGGGTTTAAATGCATTCACGGTGGGGCTTGAAAATATTTCTATATAAAGTCTGACTTGTCATCATGCAGCTATCATTACTAGTTGATCCGGAAGACAAAAAAGATGAAGTTTTTGCTCATTTTAAGTGCTGTGCTTGGTAAGTTAGTCACTTGTAACATCTAAATACTCTTTAGCTATTCAATCTTTTCAAAAATCTAGTCTTGGTACTTGCCACTGACCGGGATCAGCCTCAACGCTCAAATTGGATTCGTCGAAACAACAACAAAATCGACTCATCAAGTTCTAGCTCATCAAGCTCTAGCTCATCAAGTTCAGACTCATCATCAAGCTCAAACTCGTCATCAAGCTCTTCATCCTCAAGTTCTAGTTCCAGCTCGAGCTCAAGTTCATCAAGTTCTTCATCAGAAAGTGCTGAACACAGCCACGGCTCTCCAAGAATCTTAAAGACTCAACAATACAATCCAGACCGCTGTATTCTCATTCCAGAACCAACTTCAGATGAACTAAATGAGTTCCATCAGTGGGCAGCAAAGTTCAACAGACAGTACTTGACAGACCGTGAGAAGACATGCAGAATGATTAATGTGATTAAAAAGCTTCGTGAAATTTTCGTCCACAACAAGCGATATGAGCAAGGCAAGGTCAACTTCAAGCGTAACTTGAATGACTTTTCAGACTTGACAGAACAAGAAAGTAGCAATCGACTTCTTATGAAGCAAATGCCAGAAAGAAAATTAGTAAAAGCTAAAGCTGAGGAGTTGCCAGACTTACCAGAACCTAGAGAATCAGTTGATTACAGAACCGAAGGTTTAGTCGGACCTATTGGATTACAATTGTATTGTGGAAGTTGCTTCGCATGGTCAAGTGCTGCTGTTTTGGAAGGACAATTGAGAAAATGTGGAATCTATAATGGAACCGTGTCTGTCCAGCTTATGGTTGACTGTCCAACTAAGGGATGCTCACAGTGTGATGGTGGAATTGAATAGTAAGCAGTTATTGTGGATTTTTATGGATCATTTTTAATGCTGTCTATTTCAGCTACGTCTTTGACTGGCAAAAGAAAGGTGGAATCTATCCAGCAGCCAAATATCCATACCTTGACAGAAATGGACGATGCTCATACAATAGACGAGATGCAGTTGCATTTGTTGACAAAGCTTTTGGTTATGACTTTGAGCCAATCAAGGGAAGTCATGAGTACATCAAGTAAGTTTAAATTTTAAGGTTCCGAGCTCGATTAAGGCATTGACAATGGTTGAATACTTCCAGAAAACTTGTTTCAACTGTCGGACCAATCTCATCTGGTATTTGTGTTGAAGATAGTTTTAAGGATTATTCATCAGGTGTTTATGATGCTCCACGTTGTTGTACTCAACAAGATCATGCTAGTAAGTCTTATAAAGGTTTAAATTAAAATTTTAGAAGATATTAATATTTATTTTGCTATAGTTTCAATTGTTGGATATGGAACTGACCCACGTGAAGGTGACTACTGGTGAGTTCTAGCATATTTTGGCTTTATTTTGGTCCTCAATACCTCAAATTATAATTCACAGGTTGATCAAGAACAGCTGGGGCAAGTACTGGGGTGAGAATGGCTTTGGAAGAATCGCAATGGGCAAAAATGTCTGTGACTTTGAAAGAGAAGTTTTCTTCGCACAGCTCCGTGACACAAAAGGAAAAGTTTGTCAAATATTCTAAGGTTCTGACTGTGATTGCATGATTGAATCTACAGAAAATGAAATAAAACTAATTTGAAATATATAAAATGGAATTTTCATTATTATCTTTTTTAAGATGTCTTAGAACTTAAGTTTTGATGAGGTTCATCAGGGGCGTAGCCAAGAATTTGAAGAGGGGGGAACAAAAAAAATTTTTCTGTGTGGGGGGGGGGGGGGGGGGGGGGGTATTTTTGTGATTTTTTCATAAAAACCCTAGCATAATAAAGAAATTTCTGTTTACGTTGGGGAATTTGCCCCCCCCCTTCCCCCTGGTTACGCGCCTGAGGTTCATAATGTATCGATCTATAAAGTCATAATTTCAGAAAATTTATCACTCTTGCATTCATTCAGACCTGCGAATCACAATTTTTGGGTATAAAGTTAAAAACTTTATTTAGAATTGATATTGCAACTGTTGCGATCCGGGAAGAGTTGGTTCCAGTTTGATGTTCTTAATGCGGTTAAAAATGAGCTTCCTTTTGACGACCGAAGTAAATATATAAGCCACTACATTGATTATTTTAAGTTTTATGGTTGCAACTCTGTCAATTCATGAGAATTCAGTTTGATGAAGAAAAATGGCTGGTTTGGTTAAACCGAGTTTAAATCAAACCTTACATTTTTAAAGTAGGATAAGCTCACAGACAACGTAGCTTTCAAGCATTGCCATTTGACTTGACTAATCGCTTTTAACATTATATGAATGTTAAGTAAGTCTTTGGAGATCTTAAGTGCCACGGAAATGTTCTTTTATGTGCTAAGCATCTTCAACATTAGCTTTTCATCTTAAATGAATGATCTTTAATGTACAACAGTGACGTATTCAGGAATTTAAAGAGGGGGGAGGGGGGAATTTATATGGAAAATTCAGAGGGGAGGGGGGATTTTTATGATTTTTTTTTTATAAAACTCCTAGCAAAATGAAGAAATTTCTGTTAACGTCGGAAGATTTGTCCCCTAAATCCCCCCCCCCCCCTGATAACGCGTTTGATGTACAGCTAAATATGGTAAATTGACGAAATTCAATGAAATCGTATTTTTATTTAATATCTAGTTTTCTTAAATCAGTGATTTTCAAATTGTGTACCGCGGCACACTAGTGTGCCGTAGAAATTTTTTGAAACTGACATGAGTCGCATGCTGTGTATGGCTTCGGCCATGGCTTACCCAAGTGTGTTGTGGCTCATAAACTTTGGACAACGCTGTCTTAGATCAATGAGAATGTAAAGTGAATCTTGGATTTGAATAGAGTTTTGTAAGAGCAAAACAACTAGTCAAAAGTTTATTAATTATGTTATTGTCCTCCTAAAAACCACAAAGTAGAACAAATTTAAACAAAGGCAATTCACTCAAATCAGCTTTCATTAATAGATTTAATTCCAATAAACCTATTAAAAGTTCAACAAAATACGATTTTCTATTCTTTTAATTTAGAACGAAAAATACATTTTTTTACATTATAAGCAACTTAGGAGGAGTAGGATGTCCTATTTAAAATCATATAAATTAAATCAGATTTATTAATTTGTCAGTTGTTTTACTCAAAGGCTATCCTTGGATTAAGTTCATTACAACAATGAAGTTTGTTATAGTTTTAAGCACATTGCTGGGTAAGTTTATTAATTTTAAGCTCAAGATGCTTTGGTTTGGCTGCTCAACACATGAAGACATCAACGTCCTTAAGCTAAACATTACAAGTCATTCCTCATTGCAATTCTAATCTTTAGATTTCTCAATAACAAGGCTCTTTACATTTCACAGTGCTTATAGTCGCGAGTGATCAAAACAAGCATAAAAATCCAAAATTCACTGCCCAAATGGTTCGATTGAATAAACAAAATCAAATTATCGAACCAACTTCAAGTTCATCATCAGAAAGCAACGAGCAGTCTCCAAACATCCTTAAAACAAAGCTCTACAATCAAGAAAAGTGCAAGCTAGTTCCACCACCAACATCCGATGAACTGCTTCAATTCCATCAATGGACTTTACAATTTAACAGAACATATCAAACAGCTGAAGAACATATTTGCAGAGCTGTCTATGTCATTCAAAGTATCCGTGAGATTCACGAGCACAACAAGCTTTATGATGAAGGCAAAGTCAAGTTTACTAGAAGACTGAATGAATTGTCAGACCTGACAACAGAAGAACGAAATTATCGCTTAATAATGATGAATAAGAATGCAAGAAATAACAATTTTGAAGACTATCCAGACCTTCCAGATGCAAGAGAATCTGTAGATTACAGAAAAGAAGGTTTAGTGACCAAAGTTGGCTTGCAAATTAATTGCAACAGCTGTTATGCTTGGTCAAGTGCTGCAGTCTTGGAAGGACAGTTGAGGAAATGTGGAATATCAAGAAAATCTGTGTCTGTTCAGTCAGAAGTTGATTGTACGACTGCGTCAAGTTGGCATTGTAAAAGTGGATATCCTTAGTAAGTTTTTGAATGATTTTGAGGCTTTAAAGGAGCTCTTCTGATCTTTGGTTTGTGTAAAGTTCTGTTTTTAGGTGGCAGATGAAAGGTGGAATCCTTCCAGCTAGCAAGTATCCTTATGAAGACAAGGATGGCATTTGTGCTTATAGTAGAAATGATGTACTTGCTTATGTCGATGTTCCCTATGATTACGACTTTTATAATGTTCATGGTGGTCATGAGTATATGAAGTAAGTTGATATCAAGTTTATGGAACCAGTTGATTATGTTTTGATCAATCATGGAGGCTTGAGTAGGCTGTCGATCGGTTTTGCCGATTTTTGGTCAAAAGCAGGATTTTTCGTGAATTCAGCTCTATAAAAGCGAGTCTGACCCAATTTTCCAGTGAATTCCAAGAAAAATAAGTTCAAAAATCGAGACTTTAATGATTTTAGACGGGGAATTGTGAGAAACCAAGCGGGAGCTACGTAACATCCAGTTGGATGTTTCTTTACAGCGGCTGGCTCTTGTTTCTAATTATACTATCAACCCGGCTGTCGGGTGGCAAACATTTCAATGCGTGCCGATCGGGTAATTTAGCTTTCTGTTTTTTTTTTTGCAGGAAACTTGTCTCACATTATGGTCCAATTGCATCAGGAATCTGTTCTAGTAAATCATTTGAAGATTATTCATCAGGTGTCTATGATGTCGACAAATGCTGTAAAAAATCAAATCATGCTAGTATGTAGAAAGATTTTAATATGTTCAGTTCTGTTTTACATTTGTGACATTTTTAAAAACAGTTGCTATTGTTGGATATGGAACTGATCCGAAAAATGGTGATTACTGGTAAGTTATAGATGATTATTAGCTTACCAAGAAAGGTGTAAGCCCTTCTTTATGATTAATTATGTGCTATACTACAGCTAAAGGTAAAGTGTCAACTTTTACCACCAATACCTTCCCAATTAGCCCAATCCCAGTAAATTCACATCTTCAACTTATGTTACAGGTTAGTTAAGAACAGCTGGGGACCAACATGGGGTGACAATGGCTTCGGAAAGATCGCAAGAGGCAAAAACACGTGTGAATTTGAAACTGAAGTTTATTTTGCACAAGTTCGAGATGTCAATGGGAAAGTTTGCAGAGTTTTTTCATAAATAAAAAATGTAATGACTCAAAAATTGTTACAAAATTAATCGAAACGTTGAAAAATAAATGAAAAATATTTGAATTTACACAAATGTGCGCTTGAAGATTACACAAATAAGTGTTTATTGCTCAACTAAGCATCATATTCAGCTTAATTCTTAGTTCTAGATCCAAAACTTATGTTCAAATATTTTCATAATATCGAAATGTTATCGAACATCTTCAAATATTGGAGAATATTTACATAAGTGTTACATGTACTGCAGGTAGAAAACTAGGTCAGTGCTGTAATGTTCAGCATCTTACTGCTGTTCTTCTAATTCAGTATAAAAAGACCCAAAAATTCAGAACTTATCATCAGTTATCAATTTATCATCCAATAGTTAATACCAATTACATAACCTCAAATAATTATGAAGTTGCTTTGCATCTTTGCGATTCTCCTAATTGGAAGTGTCACTTGTGATTCTGATGAGATTCCATCATTTGGTAACAGTGGACCTCCAGAAATAAAAGATCCAAATTCAGAAGAAATTCAGTCATTCACCGAACCAGACAATGATGTCAACACCTACAACCCAAAGGAATGCACACTGACTCCATCGCCAACACTCCAAGAAATCACTGAATTCTATGAATGGAGTGACAAGAACAAAAAAGTCTATAAAACACCACAAACCAAAATCTGCAAGATGGTCCGAGTTGTGTATCACATGAGAGAAATTAAGGCACACAATGAGCTGTTTGCATTAGGAAAAGTTTCATATCAACGTGACTTGACTGAATACTCAGATTTGTCGCATGACGAGAAGCTTGAAAAACTTATTATGAAGGACGTACAGTTCCAACCACAAGTTCGTCAACTTAAAGGACCATTGCCTGTATATCCACCAGCTAGAGAATCAGTTGATTGGAGAACTGAAGGCTTAGTCACACCAGTTGGACATCAATATAAATGTGGAAGTTGTTATGCATGGGCTGGATCAGCTGCATTGGAAGCTCAATTGTTAAAATGTGGAATTTATCATGATCAAGTTTCAGTTCAGACTATGGTTGACTGTCCAGGACCTGGTATTTGGGGATGTAAATCTGGATGGGCTTTGTAAGCTTTGGAATGTCTTTAAATTAAGGATGATTAATTGATTTTATTTAATTTCCAGCTATGCCTTTAAATTGCAAGCTAATGGTGGAATCTTACCAGCTGACAAGTATCCATACAAAGATAGTCCAAGAAACTGTTCATATGACAGAGATGACATCATTGCCTACGTCCATAAACCATATCAATTCAATTTCACTAATGTTAATGGCAATGCCTCGTTCATTAAGTAAGTTTTGATGATTTTTAATTTTTTAGGAAGGTTTCTTATTAGTTTTGAACTTCTTTAACTTGCAGGCAAGTCCTTTCACACGTTGGTCCAGTTGCTACTGTAATGTGTACTCATCCCAGCTTGTTTCAATATAAATCTGGTGTTTATACAACTCCAACGTGCTGCAAAGAAGTTAAACATGTCGTTGCTATTGTTGGTTATGGAACTGATCCTGTATTTGGAGATTATTGGTAAGCAGCAGGTGCTTCAGCTTCTAAAACAAATTTTTAATATGTTCATATTTTTTCAGGATTATCAAGAACAGTTGGGGATCTGGTTGGGGTGACAAGGGATACGCTAAAATCGCTAGAGGCCAAAATCTTTGCATTACTGAGACTATAATTGATTACGCACAAGTTAAGGATCTTGATGGAGAAGTCTGTCCGTTCGGTTTTTAGATAATTTGTAATTTGACGCCTTAAAAATGTTGAAATTTTCTTATTTTTTGGTCTTAACCACGAAATTTAACCATTAGTTGTAATAAAAAGCATTTAAAAATTAAAATAATTTGTTTTATTACTTACATCATCTACCAGAATCTATCCGAACTGTAAATCTTCTAGCCTGTACATTCACACTACTGCAAATGCTAACAGCCTTCAATTCAAGCAAGAGATAACAAACTGATCACAAAAAATGCAATCAAGCATAAACGTCAATGAGTTTCAGGACTCTGAACCTGCATGACTGCATCCACAGCATTTTCCCTTTCTCTAAGCTACATCAAACATGCGACTTGAAGTTTAATCAACAGGATGTGAGAGAATTCTGTCTGAAAAGTGGGAGAACACTAGATTAATATAAAATGAATGATTTTTCTGTAAAGAGCTTGTTATTCCTATAATTAAGTTGCTGAGCATTAGAAGACATAATGAAGATTTTAGTCATCCTTAGTGCTGTTTTTTGTAAGTTTTTTGAGTCTCTAAATTAGTTTTTTGAGGTAATAAACTTAACATTTAATATAATTCCAGTTATAGCACTAGTAAGTGCACAAATTGACCGCGAGAACCTCAACTACGCTTCTCAAATGGTCCGATCTGAAAACTCTTCAGATCCTAATCCAAGTTCATCAGCCTCACACTCAGATTCGTCATCATCATCAGAAAGCGATGAAACTCTAGCTGACAAGATCAAAAAAGGTTTGAAAATCTTAAAGACGAAGTTTTATAGCGCCAAAAACTGCACTCTCATTCCACCACCATCTCTACATGAACTCCATGAATTCTTCCAATGGACTGTCACTCACAACAAAACTTATGGAACGGTTGCTGAGAAATTCTGCAGAACAATCCATTTGATTCACAACTTCCGTGAAAATCATCAACACAATAAATTATTTAAACTTGGAAAAGCTACATTCAAGCGTGCCTTGAATCACTTGTCTGACTTAACAAAGAGAGAAATCCGCACAGTTCTCATGAAGTTCGCTCCAAGTACATCTACAAGATCAGATCCATTGACTGCATTGCCACAAGCAAGACGATCAGTTGATTGGAGGAAAGAAGGTTTAGTTGGACCTGTTGGATTCCAATATAATTGCGGAAATTGCTGGGCATGGGCAAGTGCTGCTGTCTTGGAAGGTCAACTTAGAAAGTGTAGAATTTCTAATGAGTCAGTCTCTGTTCAATCGATGGTTGACTGTGCGACTGAATATTGTGAAGGATGTGATGGTGGATGGCCTTAGTAAGTTTGTTTCTGTATTTATCGATGTTAATGGGGATAGTGTTTGAAGTTATGTGAAAATTTACTCAAACTAAGGTTCATTAGGGTTGAATAGGGTTGACTAAAGTTGACTAAGGTTGAGTAGGGTTGACTAAGGTTGAGTAGGGTTGAGTAGGTTTGACTAAGGTTGACTAGGCTTGAATATGGATGACTAAAGTTGACTAAGGTTGACTAAGGTTGACTAGGGTTGACTAGGGTCGGTTAAGATTGACTAGGATTGACTAAGGTTGACTAGAGCTTACTAGGGTTGACTAGTTTCGATTACAATTCAATGCTCTATTAGGGTTGACAAGGATTGACAAGGGTTGGCTAGAGTTGACTTTGGTTGATTAAGATTGACTTTGTTTGACTAGGGTTGACTAGCGTTGACTAGGGTTGACTAGAATTGACTAGAATTGACTAGGGCTGACTAGTGTTGACTAGAGTTGGCTAAGGTCTAATTCTGAATTTAGAATCAGAAACTAACCTCTTTTTTTCAACAATCTAGCTATGGAATGAAATGGGCTATAGACGGAGGAATCATTCCAACTTCCAAATATCCATACCTTGATGGTGAAGGATATTGCGTAGATCGTAAACAAGAAGCTATTGGATTTGTTGATACTCCGTATGTTCACGACTTTTATTATGGCGATGCTGAATACATCAAGTAAGTTTGGCGCAAGAAAAAAAATTGAGAAAGTTCTTGAATTTGCAATTATTATCTTAGACGAATCGTTTCATCATACGGACCAGTTGCTGTCGCACTTTGCGTTGGTGACGACTTTACACATTATAGTTCAGGTGTCTTCTACATTAATAACTGTTGCACAACAGTCAACCATGCTAGTAAGTAATAAACTTTGACATTTATAGCAGAAATTCATATTAATTTTATTTCAGTCTCAATTGTCGGGTACGGAAGTGATCCTAAACTTGGCGACTACTGGTAAGAAGTCAAAAATTTATCTCAAAATTTCTCTTTTTAACAAAAAAATTATTCTTAAAGGTTAATCAAGAACAGCTGGGACTTGTCATGGGGTCAAGATGGTTTTGCAAAAGTTGCCAGAGGACACAATCTTTGCAGCATCGAAAGCACCGTTCATTATGCACAGATTAAGGATGTCAAAGGAAACGTTTGTCGAATTCCAAAGTAACTTTTTTGAATTCAAAATGACGATTTTGTGAAAAAATATTTTGAATAAAAATTATTGAAAATAAATTAAATAAATTCATTTAGTTGACTAGCGTTCCTCTCTCTGTTTGGGTAGCGACACTGATGGTGATAGTGTTGGATCCTCAGATGGCTAAGCCGATCTCACGAATTCCCCCTTCCCCCAAACCCGTGCACCCTCTTCCAGTTCTTTTTAAGCATATAAAAGCCAACAGAACTCAAAACCACACTTAGTCCATTCAAAATTCAACTAAAAATGATCCATTCAATGCTTATTAAAATCACAGAAAAGCCAGATTAGTGTGAATGACTTCCATTGAGTAAACAACAAGGAAACAATTAAAAAATGCCTTGAAATTCGTTACAGATTGCAAAAATCAATAATCAGTGAATTAAAATACTTTGTCAATGAAGAAGAAAAAATGCAGCTTCAGCGCAATTATTTGCAATCTGAGCAGTTCCTCTAGACTTTAATCTGAATTTTCTATTTGACTAGATTGAATGTAGAAAGTGGGGGATAGAAAGTGCTTATAAATGACATGATAACTAGCAAATATTCATCATTAAGTAAAACTGAGACAGTCAGGAAGATCATAACGTGCTGTAGAAGTAAATAAAAAATTCAAAATGAAGATGATTCTAATACTAAGTGCTGTGGTGGGTAAGTTTGAAGTTAAGAAGCTATTGCTGTGATCTAGTGCAATTACAACTACTCAGCACTCTTAAACAGTGCAACTTACATACTAAAGTAGCACTAACCAGCAATTGTTGTCCATAAACTTCTTCCACACATAATCAAACTCCTCAACTCCTTAACTTCCAGCCATAGCCATCGCTAGTCAACAAGATGCATGGAAATCAAGATTTAATTCGCAAATGGTTCGTATGAATGATAAAGTCGATGGTATTTTCAAGAAATCTAGCTCCTCATCATCATCTGAGAGCATTGAGGATAAATCATTAATTAACCGCTTTAAAGATGCCTTAAACTGTACGATTGATCCACCACCAACATTAGATGAGCTTTATCAATTCTACCAGTGGGTACAGAAGTACAATAAGAGTTACTACACACCAGAGAATAGATTGTGTAGAACAATTCATGTGATTCGTCATATTCGTCAGATTAATGCTCATAATGTGTTGTATGAGCAAGGACTAGTCAGCTATAAACGTGGATTGACTGACTTTTCTGATTATTCATCTGAGGAGAATTACGATCGACTTTTATTGAAGGAAGCACCAATAATTGAAGATACTTTACAAGGATCTACTGATTTGCCAATTTTGCCACCAGCAAGAGACTCCGTAGACTGGAGAAATGAAGGCTTAGTCTCACCAGTTGGTTCTCAATGGAAATGTGGAAGTTGCTATGCATGGGGTGGTGCTGTTGCTTTAGAAGGTCAACTGAGGAAATGCAAAATATCCAGCGAATCTGTTTCTATTCAATTAATGGTTGACTGTCCAAATCACGGTGTCTGGGGATGCTCATCTGGATGGCCTTAGTAAGTTCGTTGACAATATGATTTTTCGGAAGGATTATAAAAAATTGTAATTTTTTTCCAGCTATGTCTTCAAATGGCAAATGTCTGGAGGAATCTTGCCAGCCTCAAAATATCCATACAAAGATACTTCTGGAAAGTGCAACTATAATAAGTCTGACGTCATAGCTTACGTTGACACTCCATACAAGTTTAATTTTACTGATGTTGGTGGAAATGCTACATTTATCAAGTAATGAGCTATTAAGTTTGAGGTTATGTTCATAAATTTACTTTTGATTTTCCAGACAAGTTGTGTCAGCGACCGGACCAGTTTCTATTATTATTTGTGTAGATAAGAGCTTGTTCCAGTATAAATCAGGTGTCTATACCACAAAAAATTGCTGCAATACTGTTAAACATGTTGTAGGGATTGTTGGATATGGAACTGACCCTAAATTTGGTGACTATTGGTAAGTTGTGCTTAATTTTATGCAAATTCTTAATTAATTCTCAATTTAACACCTTAATAGGATCATTAAGAACAGCTGGGGCACAAACTGGGGTGACAAAGGCTTTGCTAAAATTGCAAGGGGAAACAACTTGTGCATCACTGAAAACTATGTCCAATATGCATCGCTTAAGGATGTAAACGGCAGAAAGTGCGATTTAATGAGTTAATTTTATGTTTAAAGTTTCAAATAAAAAAAGTGCAAATTTATTTTCTTTAATTTTTTCTGTATTTTTCGTTTTTTTTTTCATTCTCTTTATAACTTTTTTTGTTTTTGTTTCATTAACAAAAGACTACAATGAATGTTAAGAAGAGGAAATTTCACAATTTTTTATCCTTTTTCCTTTCCGATTTTGTTTTTAATTTTTTAAATTTTCTATTCACAAAATTAATTAATTTTTTATTTTTCTCCTTCAATTTTTTTATTTTTCTTTTCTTTTCATATTTACTAGCTAAATTATTTTGTTTTTATTATTTTTTTTTGTTTTTTTGTGTGTGTGTATGTTGGGATCATAAGATCAATTGAAGAGCTTTTTTTTCAAAAATAATAATTAAAGTAAATTGATAGAGAGAAAAAAAAATAATAGGAAGAGTTGATTTTGGGACTGAAGTACCAAATTGATGATTGATGAAGTACTTGATTAGTCATCATACATGTCCTGGAGATTAGCTAGTGTAGTACTAGATTAGAGGTCTAGTGAAGTACCAAAATAGAAGCTAGTGAAGTACTAGATTAGAAGTTATTAAAGTACTAGATTAGGAGCAGGTGAATCACTTGATTAAAAGCTAGTGAAGAACTCGATTAGAAGCTAGTGAAGTACCGGATTAACAAAAGTGAGGTACTAGATTAGCAGCTAGTGAAATGCCAGATTAAAAGCTAGTGACGAACCAGATTAGAAGCTAGTAAAATACTCGACTAGAAGCTAGTGGAATACTAGATTATCAGCTAATGAAGGACTAGATTAGAAGCCAGTGAAGTAATACATTAGGTCAAGTAAAGTACTAGATTAAGAGTTGGTGACAAACCCGAATAGAAGCTAGTGAAGTACTCGATCAGAAGCTAATAAAGTACCAGATTATAAGCTAGTGAAGCAACAGATTAGATGCTAGTGAAGTACTAGATTAAAATCCAGTAAGATAGTAGATTAAAATCCAGTAAGGTACTAGAAATAGAAGCTAGTGAAGAGTCCTAGAATTCAAGCTAATAGTGTACTAGATTAGGAGCTAGTGAAGTATCCGATTAGAAGCTAGTGGAGTACTAGATTAAAAATTTGTGGAGCACAAGATTTGTAATTATGAAATTACCAGATTAGCTACAAATGATGAACTTGATAAGTACTTCTTGATCCAACCTATCAACCTAGTCAATCGAACCCAAAACAACAAGTTTATCTATTCATCCATCCCTTCTGTCACTAGCTAGCTTGCAATAACTTTTAACAAAATAATTGATATTTCATAGCAATATTGTAGAAAATTTTTATTATTTAGACTTGCTTAGGATAAGGTGACAGGAAGAAACTTCGATTTAGACAAAATTATGAATTAAATTTTCAGAAAATTCATTTACAATTCCAAATTTGTAGCTAAGACAATGAAATGTTTTTTTCCGTGTAACAAATAAAAATATTTAATTAATTACAATAATTTTGATTAGAGTTGGTGGAGTTGCTTAACTTAAGGTAAGTCATTTAAACCCCCACCAACCCTAACCATACAAAACTCAAAAAAAAAATTCAATTAATTTCATCTAAAAACTAAAACGACTGAGCAACGTGGTGCCGACGAAAAGAGCTGAAAAAATGTACCTAAGGCGGACCCAAGTCAATGCTTGATAATTTAATTGCAGGAATTGATGCCTTTGGTGGCAAATTTTGTAGTGCTGCTGCTTGCTGCTCGCGCAATTCTCGACGACGTCGCTTACTTGTTAGCTCATGACAGTCTTGAGATGTTGGGAGGTCGGGTGGTGGAAGACTGGAACAATTTAAAAAATTATTTAAAAAATCCGTTAAAAAAATTTGTTCAACTCACGTTTCAGGTTCAATATTCTTCAGCCATTGACTCCTAAGTGCGTCCTCAGCAGTAATTCTCCTCTCGGGATCTAAAGTGAGCATTTTATCAAATAATTCCAACGCTGAGTCAGGCATATAAGCAAACTCTTCTCTCAGTCTACGACGATACTGTTTCTTAGGCTGCAGTGAATTAAAGTGCGGTAGCTTAATAACATTTGGCCATACGGCTGGTGTCGGTGATCCACAAAGACGTGATATAATTTCTAATTGGAGCGGCTCTGAACTTCCTTGGAACAGCGTCTTTTTTGCGAATAATTCACCTAGGATGCATCCGACTGACCAGATGTCGATTGATGGACCGTACCTGGAAGATGAAGTAATTGTTTTGCGTTAAGAATGAGTATAAGGAGGTAGAGTTGCTACTTACTTTTCCTCTCCTAGCAAAAGCTCTGGCGGTCGGAACCATAATGTTATAACTTTATTAGTATATGGTCGTTCACGATCCTCAGCATCACGTGCAAGACCAAAATCTGCGAGTTTTACTTCTCCACTAAAAATGAATTAAAACTGTCAGTAAGTCAAGAATCTAAACCAAGTACAGCAATACTCACCGATTATTCATAAGAATATTACTGCCCTTAATGTCACGATGAAGGAAGTTCTTTTCATGACAATATTTAAGCGCCCTAAGCAACTGCTTCATAATCGATGCTATATGAATCTCTTTAAACTCAACCTGCTCATTCTCTAATAATCCCATTAAATCATGCTCCATATACTCAAATACAAGATAGAAGGCACCGCGGTCTTTACAAAAGTCTATGGCTTCCTGCTTATCAGTTACTATTTCGCGAAGTTTTACTACGTTCTTGTGATTGAGTTGACGGAGAATTTTGATCTCGCGTACGGCTGTGATTGGGAAGCCTTCCTTCTCGTTCTCGAGACGGACTTTTTTGAGAGCTACGACCTCCTTTGTATTTATTTCACATGCTTTATACACTTGACCGTATGTACCTGAAATAATTAGGAATTATAGTTTGCATCACTGACGTTGAATCAGTCCTAAGATCATTTTCTCATGGACATGACTTTTAAACCTTATCAAAACCTACCTTCACCAATCTGTGCTATAATCTGGAACACCTCAACACATCTCTCGCCCCAATTGCCTTCCGGTCCATCTGATAACCTCCTATTGATGATCTTTGGCCGTAGAAGTTTGGCAGCAGAGTTTGTCGTACCATTGCCACTAATTTTGTGCCCCCTTTGAGCAATCGATGCATCATTCTCATCATCACTGAGATCCTCAGTTCCTGGAACTGTTGGTGGCATTGGCAGTTCCGTAAGTTTGACTTTCTTAGACGGTCCAGCCATTGGTGCTTCTTTAGGCGGTGATGGTGTTTTGACATCCATTGGCACAATCACACCAGGCGGCATTGGAAGTTCTGTCACCTTTCTTATCACAGCTGTGGCTTCACTTGGTAATGGTGGTAATGGCGGTTGCTGTTGATTCTTCATGACATTATCCACTTCGTGAATTTCAGTCGATGCCATTGGAATTCCATTCGCCGGTGGAACTGGAATGTCCTTGAGATCACCATTTGTGTTATTCAAGAATGGTGCCGGTTCTGTCTTTCCTGTTGCTGTATCAATATTATTATTTGTATTTGTATTTGTCTCCGAGAGAATCTCTTTCAGTACTTTATCGCGCTTGAGCTTACTGCCTTTAACTAGTTCCGCAAATAATGACGTGTCGTTCATATTGATTGACTTTTTTAACGGCATAACTTTGGCGAGTAATGAAGGCGAGGGTGAACGTGATGATGTTCTGCGTGGTAGAGGTGATGGAGTGCGATGATAACGTGATGGTGGTGAACGGGATCTGCGACGTCGCTGCTTGCGGGGTGGTGTTGATGATGATCTACAAAGAGAGATGAGAGATGGTGTGGTTTATTATTATTTTTAAGTCAAAGAATTGTACCCCTAGTTGAAGATTAGTACCCCTTGTCCAAGAATTATACCCCTCCTCAAAGAATTGTACGCCTAATCACAACAGCGTAGTTTTAGTTGAAGAATCATACCAATAGTCAAATAATTGTACCCCTGGTAAAAGAATCTTACCCCTTGTCGAAGAATCGTACCCCTAGTAAAAGAATTGAACCCCTAGTAGAAGAATTAAACCCCTAGTCAAAGAATCTAACCCTCAGTCAAAGAATCGTACCCCTCGTTGAAGAATCGTACTCCTTGTCAAAGAATTGTACCCCCTTGTTGATAAATTGTACCCCTAGTCAAAGAATTGTACCCCATATTCAAAGAATACCTTAAGATTTTAAGTAAAGCATCTTAAATTCCTAGTTTACCACCCCTTGTCTACTTACTTTGATCTTCGTCTCCTCTCATGTCTTTTCCTAAGGCTACTATTATAAGTTGACGATCGTTCACGATCACGACGCCTCCTACTACTCAGCTCGTAGGATTCATAAGGCGACCTTTCTCGGCTTCTTGTTCTTTTGCGATATGATGATGATCTTTCTGGGGATACGTGTCGTCTCTTTTTCGATGATGATATTGTTCCTTTTTGGGATGTGCCTAAAGTAAATTATAATTGGATTAGTAACATATTGATTGATAAGACTTATATATCAGAAGTATTTGCAATAATCTGAAATGTTATAAGAATGATTCTTGAACAGGGACTTAAATCTGATAAGAAGTCATGTGATTTGTGCATTTTTGAGCGATTATTTGAGGCAGTGATATTAAGAAAGCTTTAGACTGTATTTTAAGGGGCTATTGCTAGTGTGGGACATGCAATTGGTAATCGGCAAGGGGAAGCTAGCTTCAGGGAACTTCTAAGACAGTTATGGCCAACTCATGTGCCGCGGCACACTAGTGAACCGTGAAAAAACATTGTGATATCCCACGAACCGTATGTTTTGCCTATGGATTACCACCAAGTGTGCCGTGGCATGAAAAATGTTGGACACTACTGTTCTAAAATGAGCCATGGATATAATTTAGCCTGCATGAACAATATAGTATGTAAAGCTATATCTTAAAAGTGTAAAGATATCAAGATCTACCCTAAATGGATATAAAGCTTCCTCAGCAGTACCTTAGTGAGCTCAAGAGCACATAGACACTGATTTTCAGAATAAAACATAGAATTTCCTATACTTCTGATGTATATCCCATATTATCCAAATGTGTTTATCTTGTACAATCAAGGATAAACCTCACATGGATCAGACATACGCAAAACATCCGAATTCCTACTCTACATCCTCATAAAATTTAACATAAACAAATATAACAATAAACTTACTAGACGATAACGACGAATGTCTTCCTGAGCCATGTCCACCACGTTCATCATGTCCAAGTACCATACTTCGATCATGTTTCGATGACTTTATAGGCATTGGAGGTGTATGAGGTGATCGATAGTCATTTCTCTTACTTGGTCCAGTCGGAGGAATATCCGATAATGGACTTTCTGGACTGATATTGATTGACTGCGGCGTACATCCACGCGATATTGGTGTATAGCTATCGAATTTTCTTTTTGGTGTATATGAGATTTGGTCGAGTGGTGGCGTAAATCCATCATCAATCTTCTTCGAGTGATCAACTTCATCCAGAATTGCATCATCATCGGATATCTCCTCAATTGAGTCACTTGACTTTCGTCGTCTTTTTCTCTTCTTTGACTTCTTTAATTTCTTAGACTTTTTCTTCGACTTTTTGCTACGCTTCTTTGCCGCTGACGTCGTGTCACTGAATGTCTCACTATTATACATCTCATCATCATCATCCTCATCCATCAACTTCTCCAGCTCCTCATCATCATCATCAATTGGCTCATAAATGTTATTATTATTACCAATTGTCGATATCTCATCATCACTAACGATTGACAGTCCATCCGATGGCAATTCACCAGCCTCTGGTGCTGAAAACTCATTACTTGACACATCCGAATACTCAACGAGTTTATGTTGAGTCGATGGCGACGATTTTGATGGCTTTCGTAGCTTCTTTGAGTGTTTTGAATTTTTCTCCATGTGGATGCTTGCCATTCAGCATCACATGCAGGAACTAGGTTTTTATCTGTTTTTTTATGTTGACTTCCACGCGAATTGTAAAAAAATGGCACAAAAAACAACAACAAAAATTATTTTTTTTTTGACACTTTTTACTCGAATTTTCCACACTGGATCACAAGATTTTTACACAATTCTGTTCATCATCACTGTTATTACTGTCTGGTCACTTCCAATCACTCAATTGCGGTTGATTTGATTAAATTCTAATTCACTTTATAATCACGATTTTGACAAACTTTTTTTCTTATATTGAAAATAAATTCAGATTCTTAAATGACAGTAAAGAGTTTAAGAGCGAATCTATTGAGTTATCTGGTAGTCGATAAAGTTCGACAATTGTGGACATAAAGTTTCTCAAATTTTATCAGACTCAAAAACGTTTTTGTGATCGGAAAAAATGAAAAAAAAAAGTTTTTTTTCTCTTTGATTTTTCTTTTTAAAAAAAAGTGAGTTTGCTTTTCGATTCTTATTAGAATTGGCAGGAATGGCTGAATTGTGCTGAATATATTATTGTGTGCAGGTGCGGACAGACTAGGACTAAGGAGGGTGATGATTGTGTGAGATTAAAGCTGTGACTGAAGTAGTTTGGCACTGTTGACTGCTGAGTGAGTCCAAATGGAAAGTTTGAATTTTTTGTGGACGTTATGAAAAGTTTTTGATTTTTTTAGTTTCTGAAAATTGTGCAAAATATTTTTAAAATTCTTCTTATTTTGATGCAAACTTTTTATGAGAATTTTAAATTTTTAAGAATTTTAGGTTTCAAAAATTCAAATTTGAAAAAATCGTTATTATTGAAAATATTTCTTTTAAATTTTTTATTTTTTTGCGAATATTTTGAATCTTTTTGCCTAAGAAATTTTAAGGTTTCTTAAAAACAATTTTTAAAAAATGTGAAAATTATTTAAACATAAAAAATATAAAAGATTTAAAAAAATTTGAAAGATTTAAAAAATTATAAAAGATTTCAAAAAATTTTAAAGATTAAAAAAAAATAAAAGATTTAAAAATATTTTAAATTTTCAAGAGCATCAAGAATAAGATCGCAAATGCACAACCTTTGAGTGCTCTTTAAGCTTCAATTTCAACTCAAAAACAAATAAATCTTTCACATTTTGCAGCTCTAATTGTGTTTACAGTTCTTTGTCAACATCCGAATATTTAAAAGCAATAAAATATATTCAATAAATTATTTCATGATACTTGAAGCCGCTGTTGATGCTGCAAAGTTGTTTATCTTTTAATTTTCAATTTCATTTGGCTCATAAGCAGATTTGAAATATTGAATGGATAAAAATGAGTGATTCAGAAAATGACATGATTTTTTGAAGATCAAGAAAATATTAGGAAAAACATTGAATTTAGATTTTATTCATCTTATGTTGTGCAACAGCGCTTTAGAACTTTTTTTGCTACAATTTAAATTTTAACAATAATTTTCTAATCTTATCTTCTAAGATCTTAGAAGCAGTGTTCTTGTCAGCTCATATTCAAATTGTCTGTGTGTCGCAATATCTCTGGGACCATGTTAATATTTTATTAACCGCAATGATGTCAATTTTGGACGTTCCTTCCCCTTTCTCAATGATTTATCATCAAATCATCATCCATGCATTGAAATCTTATCACATTTTATAGATAAAAACTGCATAAAATTGATTATATTTTTTTTATTTTATTTTATCAGCGAATTTTTATTGAACTTAGTTTTGCTTTGGTAACCAGTCGATTCACATCTGATTCAAGAATTATTACTTTAATTCTTTTTCTTATCAAAAAACACGAGTTTTATTTTATTTTTAGAATTATTAAAAAAAATTATGTGATTTATCGGTTTAGTTGAAAAAAAAATTGATTCAATAAAGTTAAATTAGAAAAAGGTGAGATTTCGGGCCGGTGTCTTATGGCTCATCTTAAGGCAACCTATTAAAGTATCAAATTAAGTTTCTTTTGTATTTCATGCTAGCTATACGTGTCCCTCCCACCTTCTTTATTTAAAAATTCCCAACTTTCTTCCACAGCTCCATCAATATTGACATCCAATCTACTCCAAAGACCCTACAAAAAATTATTATCCAAACAACCGTCGTTCCATCATCCAAAAATGTTTAGAATTGACTGCAAATTCGAAGCCTGGCCATGGATTGATGACAATCGTTATTCATGCAACATCAAACGTAAAACAGTCCCAGATTCTAAGAATTTAATCCTCGACGGTCGTCATTTAGTTCCACATACGAATTATGACGTCACAGGCGTCAACTTTATGAAATGTCGAATCACAAAAATTCCAGCAAGTTTGATGATCAAAAGTTTTCCATTTTTGCAAGCCTTATCGCTGTCAAATTGTGGATTGAAGGAAATTAAAAGAGAAGACTTTTATGGACTGCATGACTTGAGAGTACTTTGGGTTGACGAGAATGAGTTGGAGTTCCTGCCTGGTGACTTATTTGTGGACATGAAAAGACTCGAATTTGTGTCATTTGAAAAAAATAAGATTCGATTTATTGATCCTGAATTGTTGGATCCGCTGAGGTGCTTAAAGTTGATTAATTTTTTCGGTAATGTTGGCATCGACAGGGTCTACAACAGCATCTTTTTGACACAAGGCAATGCAAGTTTGGAGGAAATCAAGCAGGAAATTGCTGAAAAGTGCAAACCGCCGTTCAAGGAAAATCCGAAAAAATTGGAAGAAAATGAAGACTTGACACAAAAGTTGAAGGCAAAGGAAGCCGAAATTGAGCAGCTTAAGGAGAATCTTGAGGACATAAAAGTCGTGGCTGCATCCTTACACGATGAAATTGAAAGAATGCAAAAAGAAGCTGAAAAATTGAAGATTTTCGATGAAATTCAAAAACTTTTTAAAGATGACGAATTTAAGGACTTGACGGTGCTGGCTAAAGGTGAGAAATTCAAGGTCCACAAGATCATCATGGCTGCTAGAAGTCCAACAATGTCAAGAATGTTAAGGAACCGACCAGATATCGAAAGCTTGACATTCACAGACATTCCAGTTCCTGCATTCAGAGAAGTTTTAAAATTCATGTACGAAAATTCAATGCCAGCTGATGACGCAAACTTTACTGACATTTTTGCTGCTGCAAGTAAATTGGAAGTGATGGAACTTAAGGAATATTCAGTCACTAAATTGATCAACAAGATTGACGATGAGAATGCTGTGGACATGCTGGGAATTGCGAATAAATTTCAGCATGAAGATTTGAGGGAAAAAGCATTCGAGGAAGTCCAAAAAATGTTTCCAGGACGAGAATTAAAGCCTGAGATGGCTTTGGATGCTGGGAAGATTAGGAAGCTGATTGAGGCTAAGAAGAAGTTTGAGGAGGAATTTGAAAATATTTAAAAAAAATTGTTAAAAATTTTATTTTTTCAGAAAATTAATAAAAAATTGATTTTATAAATTTTATTAAAAATGATTGTTAATTTATTGAAAATTGTGATATTAATGTTGGCATTCACTCATTCATGAAATACTTCTCTTTCTCAATGAGACTGACTCTCATTTACATGATTACTGAATTGTACTAGATTGACCCACACTTGTAAGGATAATTCACAAACTCAATCATTTATGTTGACTAGAGTCGTGTGCAAAATAAATTTAGTATAAAACAGAGCAGCAACTCCATTATCAGCATCAATAACTGTTCAAAATTTGTAAGTTAAAGTAAAACTTCACTTCAAGTTCTAAAGTTCAATTAACTTTTATTTTAAAAAAGTAAGTTGCATTATGATAAAAAATAATTAAAAAATTATTATTTAATTATGAAAATTTTTTTAATTTATTTTTTTCTAATCAAGAATAAAAAAAGTCATCAAAAACATGGACCAAAAAGGCAATGATAACCGTGGAAATCAATTGAATCCAAACAATACAAACTTTGAAGGTGGAAAGGGAAATTACGATGGTGATCGTAGCAAGTCCACTATGGACAACAAGGCCAATCAAGGCAATCCCAATCACCCAAATTACGATAAAGGTCGTAAAAACTAGAATGTGAGTGATTGACAGGATCAGCCAAAGAGTGAAGCCAGATGTAGCTTGTAGAAATGTTCAATTGTGAAATATAAAAAAAATCTGGCAATAAATGGAATAAATTTCAATTAATTAATTTCCAAAATTAATTCAAAAATTAGATTTTAACTTTTTTTTTATATTTTCAGGGAATTTTTTATTTTTTTGAAATTTTTGAATTTCTAAAAAATATTTTAATTTTGAATTATTTGAATTATTTGAATTTTTTGAATTATTTGAATTATTTGAATTATTTGAATTATTTGAATTATTTGAATTATTTGAATTATTTGAATTATTTGAATTATTTGAATTATTTAAATTATTTGAATTATTTGAATTATTTGAATTATTTGAATTATTTGAATTATTTAAATTATTTGAATTATTTGAATTATTTGAATTATTTGAATTATTTGAATTATTTGAATTAATTGAATATTTTGAATTATTTGAATTATTTGAAATATTTGAATTATTTGAATTATTTGAATTATTTGAAATATTTGAATTATTTGAATTATTTGAATTATTTGAATTATTTGAATTATTTGAACTATTAGAATTATTTGAATTATTAGAATTATTTGAAATATTTGAATTATTTGAATTATTTGAATTATTTGAAATATTTGAATTATTTGAATTATTTGAATTATTTGAATTAATTGAATTATTTGAAATATTTGAATTATTTGAATTATTTGAATTATTTGAATTATTTGAATTATTTGAATTATTTGAATTATTTGAATTATTTGAATTATTTGAATTATTTGAATTATTTGAATTATTTGAATTATTTAAATTATTTGAATTATTTGAATTATTTGAATTAATTGAATATTTTGAATTATTTGAATTATTTGAAATATTTGAATTATTTGAATTATTTGAATTATTTGAAATATTTGAATTATTTGAATTATTTGAATTATTTGAATTATTTGAATTATTTGAACTATTAGAATTATTTGAATTATTAGAATTATTTGAAATATTTGAATTATTTGAATTATTTGAATTATTTGAAATATTTGAATTATTTGAATTATTTGAATTATTTGAATTAATTGAATATTTTGAATTATTTGAATTATTTGAAATATTTGAAATATTTGAATTATTTGAAATATTTGAATTATTTGAATTATTTGAATTATTTGAAATATTTGAATTAATTGAATTATTTGAATTATTTGAATTATTTGAATTATTTGAATTATTTGAATTATTTGAAATATTTGAATTATTTGAATTATTTGAATTATTTGAATTATTTGAATTATTTGAAATATTTGAATTATTTGAATTATTTGAATTATTTGAATTATTTGAATTATTTGAATTATTTGAATTATTTGAATTATTTGAATTATTTGAATTATTTGAATTATTTGAATTATTTCAAAATTATTTGAATTATTTGAATTATTTGAATTATTTGAATTAATTGAATTATTTGAATTATTTGAATTATTTGAATTATTTGAATTATTTGAATTTTTTCAATTTTTTTAAATTTATTTTATAAAGTCTTACAGCACTTCAATCTCAGTCTACCCAAAAGCACTCCAAAAAAATTGTTATAAAAAAATTGGAAATCTAATTTTTTTTCCAATTCAATTTTCGAAAGAAAAAATCACAATTAGAATAAAAAAAAATATGAAAAATTATTGCTCAAATTCATTTGCATTTTGGCAACCGATCGGAACAGACAGAAAAAGGCATAAAAGGAAGAAAAGTGCATTAAAAATTATAATTGAAAAATGAAAATCAATTTGAAGGTCAATTAAGAAAAAAGATTAAAAAGTTTGTGGACAAAAAGTTGTCAAAATCTCAGGAAAAATTCTCAGAAATTATCAAAAAAAAAAAGTTGTGCATAAAAAATTCAAGGAGAAATTATGAAAAATTGATTTTTTTGAGGATCATGATGCAAGAGTTTTGAGAATTGAGAGAACGATATGTGAAGGCTAGCTCGATATCTGTGGATATTCTAGGAATATTTTGTGATAAAAATTGTAATTTTTAAAAAAAATTTAAATTGTGAGAATAAAAAAAAATATAAATTTTGAGATGTTGTAACCCACTTGGGAGTTCCTCAAGTCTTTCACAATTTTAAGCATCAAGTATGATTTGAAAAAGTGACTTTATAAATTATTTTAAACGACTTTGTGCAATTTTTGTGAATTTTAAATTTAAAATCTAGTTTTGGTGCAATTTTAAATCAAAGTATTTCAACATTGGATTATAAAAAATTATTTTAAATTTAGGTTGAGTTTAAAACACAAATAAAATGGAATTTAACGAAATAAACTGTAATCGGTGATTAATATTAAGTGCGTAAGGATAAAAAAAATTAAATAAAAAGAACTGAATATGTCAAAATGGATTTTATTGACAATAAAATCACAAATAAGGAATACGATTATGAGTAAGTATGGGGAAGTGGATTTACAATGTCTAAGCTGTCTATCGACTTTTATTCAAGAAATTAGAAAGTCTTATTAAATTTTAAACACTCTAATCATTACTATGGGTGTTTAACATGCATATGAATGCCAAATTAATGCTTTTTGGCTAGAAAACCAGAAGATTGGCATTTACAATGCACAGCCTAATCCTAACCTAAATCCATCATATTTTTTTATTTCAATAATTTTTGTATCTTCAAATTAAAAAGCTTATCTAAAATAAAATTAAACAGGCAAAATTCCTATTAATCAACCAGAATCGGCTGCTGCTTAATTCAGAGATCTTGCAGGATTTTGTTATAAATAGTTTAAATCAGAGTTGGCAAGACTGCTAGGGACAGATTTTAATATTTATGAGAGTCCTATTCCAGTAAAGTAAGCCTCCGAAGCTTGTTTTCTTTGTTTAATGTGGTTTTGAGGACTTCGGCACATAAAGTGTCTTCTTTGCTAGGCATAAATTCGTTCATGATCATTTAAAAGCTGTTTGAGTCTAGAATGTTGTTCCAGAATTCCATCAGAATTTAAGAAAAATTGTGGAAACAGCGACTTTTGCTCTTACGAACTATTTTTCTTCTTTTTCACAATTTTCGGTTGAAAAAAAGGCGGGACATGTCCCGATTTCAGCTTTGATAAAGGAGACAGCCAAAATTTTCAAACATTTCACAAGAATAATAAGCTCAAAAAATGAAAAATTAAGGATTTTAAGTGGGACTTTATTCAACAAAGCCCGGTCAAATGGCGCAGTTGCCTAGCCTATCTTTAACTGCCTGGTTTCCTAGCCTAGACTCAGGCGCGTAGCCAGGAGGGTTTTGTTCCCCTTAAACGTTTTGAACCGCAGCGAGAGCACGGCCTAAAATTCTTAAGAGGGAAACAAGACCCTCCTTGCTGAGCGCCTGCCTTGACTGTTACATTACTTTGGATGGACCCTTATGTATGACTAAGATGAAGTCGAAACTAAATGCATCTTCATTAAATTAATTCAAAAAGTTCATTTAATCTCCAAAAAAGAGCTGAATGCCATGCTGTCATTAAAATTGTATGATTTTTCACGAGTAAAAATAATTTTCTTGTCATGAAAGTAAATATGAAGAATTTCAATGCCTGGGTCGGCACACTGCTGAATATTTAACGAAAATTCTCATCGATTCTTACTGTTTTCTAGCATTAAGCTAGTAAATTTGCTGATTATCTCTTAATTACAATTATTTGGGGTCTTAACTGTTCAACTAAGTTCAATATTGATGAAATTTTGAATGACCTTGAAAATAAATCGTTGTTTTCTTAAAAACTACTTCAAATTCCTTCATTTTTTTGTAAATTTCTCAAACTTATCCAATAAATAATCCAAAACTCAACTTAGACCTCCAAAATCCTCGAAATTCGACTATTCAAAAGCTATAATTTTAAAAAATTTCCTCAATATCGATTTCCATGGACACAAAAGTGCTCACCCCATCCATTCCACATACCCAAAAATAAGCCCACCATGTCACATGCACAATTCTCAAAGTCTAATTGAATTTCCATCGACATATGAGCATGATATGATGTCATTGTCGAACGATGGAGGCTCAAAATCGATATTTTTGCTATTTTGAAGCGTAAAAAATGAGAACAAGGTGGCTATGATGGTGGCAATAATTGGTTGTCTGGCAGAGTTCAATTGAATATCGAAAATAGCGCAAAAAAATTATTTTTTTTTTATTTTTGTTGTTATTTTGACTTTAGAAAATATGTAGAAGAATTTACTAATCGATATTCATCGACCTTTTACTCGCATTTTTAAATACATAGAAATTCTTTTACACATTTTTTCCGTTTTGGGCAAAAATATAATTTATTGTTGTTGTTTGGGGGGATTGCATGGTTTTGAAGGTGTGATTTTATTAGATTTTTTATTGGTTAAAATGAATATATTTTAATTGAGTTTGATATCTAAATTATCAGATCCGTCGTTCATTTGGAATCTTATTCAAGATGTTTGTGAACAAAGCCTCCAAATTCAGGATCATAACCTCAAAATTCAGTATCATAGCCTCAAAATTCAGGATCATAACTTCAGAAATTCAGGATCATAACCTCAAAATTCAGAATCATAAATTCAGAAATTCAGAATCATAACCTAAAAATTCAGGATCATAACCTCAGAAATTCAGGATCATAACCTCAGAAATTCAGGATCATAACCTCAAAAGTTCAGTATCATAACCTCAAAATTCAGTATCATGGCCTCGAAATTCATGATCATAAATTCAGAAATTCAGGATCTTAACCTCAGAAATTCAGGATCATAACCTCAAAAGTTCAGGAATATAACTTCAAAATTCAGTATCATAGCCTCGAAAATCATGATCATAACCTCAAAATTCAGAATCATAAATTCAGGAATTCAGGATCATAACCTAAAAATTCAGTATCATAACCTCAAAAATTCAGGATCATAGTCTCAGAAATTCAGGATCATAACCTCAAAAGTTCAGAATCATAACTTCAGAAATTCAGGATCATAACCTTAAAATTTCAGGATCATAACCTCAAAAGTTCAGGATCATAACTTCAAAATTCAGGATCATATCCTCAAAATTTCAGGATCATAACCTCAAAAATTCAGGATCTTAACTTCAAAGATAAGCAAAATAACCTCAAAATTCAACTATAATCTTCCAGATCACTACCAAAGCTCAGCAGTCACGATAATGAGGAGGAAATTGTTGATAAGAAGAAGGAAGTAAACTATTTCGAGCCAATTCCTCATGATCACAACTTATGTGAACGGGTAGTTATTAATGTGAGTATATTATTCAATATTCAATCGGAATTCTTTTGAAATTTCATAACAAAAACAAAAATTCTGTACTTTTTGCACACGGAGCTGATGCTTCAAATTTCAATAGCTTCATAACAATCAATGATGTGCCACTTTTCAGATTTCGGGTCTCAAGTTTGAAACACAACTGCGTACATTAAATCAATTTCCAGAGACTCTTTTAGGCGATCCGTCCCGAAGGATTCGCTACTTTGATCCTCTGAGAAATGAATATTTCTTCGATCGTAACCGTCCCAGTTTTGATGCCATTTTATACTATTATCAGAGTGGTGAGTAGCTAGCTAGCTTGTGATGTAACCTTCCCTTAAAAATTTAAACCTCAAAATTCTTACCTCAAAAATTCTAACCTTAAAAATTTTAAAAAATTCTAACCCCAAAAATTTGAAAAATTCTAACCTCAAAATTTTCCAGGTGGTCGACTTCGCCGTCCTGTAAATGTCCCATTAGATACATTTAGTGAAGAACTAACATTTTATGAATTAGGTGAACAAGCAATTAATAAATTTAGGTGAGTATCTCCATTAAGGTATCATCATCAACTGTCACATGATCAACATATAGTCAATCAATCATAACCCCTCAAAATATGCAACATGTATCACTCAAAAAAGCTAAATAAATTAATTTTCCCACCCAAACAGAGAAGACGAAGGTTTCGTGAAAGAAGAAGAGCACCTGATGCCTACAGATGAGTTTCAGAGACAAGTTTGGTTGCTTTTTGAACATCCAGATAGCTCGATGGCTGCTCGAATTGTCGCCATTGTCAGTGTTTTCGTGATTCTCACATCAATTGTCATCTTTTGTCTCGAGACGATGCCGAAGTTTAAGCATTATAAGGTGATTGATGGCTTTGACTTTGAAATTATGAACTTTTTGATTTCCTGGATTTCAGATTCAAGCGATGAACATGTTCAAGACAGATCGAAAGTCCATGGGAATTGAGGAGGATGAAGTACCAAATTTGTATGATCCATTTTTTATCATTGAGACAGCTTGCATTGTGTGGTTCACGATTGAGTATCTTGTCAGGTAAATTGATTGTTATTTTAAATTCCTAACCTCAAAATAAGGAACCTAACCTCAAAATAAAGAACTTAACCTCAAAAATTGAAATCCTTACCTCAAAAATTAAGATCCTAACCACAAAATAAAGAACTTGACCTCAAAATAAAAAGCCTAACCTCAAAATTAGGAACCTAAACTCAAAAAGTGAGATCCTAACCTCAAAATTAAGAACCTAACCTCAAAAATTGAATTTCTAACCTCAAAATCAAGAACCTAACCTCAAACGTAAATTTTCTAAGATTCTAACCTCAAAATTAAGAACCTAACCTCAAACGTAAATTTTCTAAGATTCTAACCTCAAAATATTTTTTTTTTCATTTCAAGGCTCCTGTCATGCCCAGTAAAACGGTCTTTTATCTGTGACATGATGAACATCATCGACATAATTGCCATCATTCCATATTTTATCACACTCGGTACAGTCATGGCTGAAGATGAAAACTTACTTTTACTTCCAATGGCTCCAATCGGTGATAAACTTTCTAATCAAGCTATGTCACTGGCCATCTTTCGTGTTATCCGTCTTGTTCGTGTTTTTCGTATCTTCAAGCTGTCAAGGCATTCAAAAGGTTTGCAAATTCTTGGACGAACACTGAAAGCTTCGATGAGGGAGTTGGGGTTGCTGATCTTCTTCTTGTTCATTAGTAAGTAATTTTTTACCCAAAAATTGGATAAAGCTGAACTTATTATCCTTAATTCCAGGTGTCGTCCTCTTCTCATCTGCTGTCTACTTTGCCGAAGCTGGCAGTGAAAGCTCACAATTTAAATCAATTCCAGACTCATTTTGGTGGGCTGTAGTGACAATTACAACTGTCGGTTACGGAGATATGGCACCAATCGGTTCACTCGGAAAGATTGTTGGTGCTTTGTGTGCTATTGCTGGTGTCCTAACGATTTCGCTTCCAGTTCCTGTTATTGTCAGTAATTTTACGTACTTTTATCATTTGGAAACCGATCAAGAGGACATGCAGAGTCAGAACTTTAATCATGTCACGAGCTGCTCGTATTTGCCTGGAGTGCTTAGTAAGTATGATTGATAATTGTTTCATTTGAGGGGTAAAGATGCAAAGGGGTGGGGAAGAGATGCAAAATGTGAGACAAAGATGCGAGAGGGAGGAACAAGATGCAAAAAAAGGGTCTTGAGGCAAAAACGAAGTAAAAAGAAGCAAAGGGGAGGGATAAAGATGCGAAATAGAGGAGAAAGATGCGAACGGAAGGGGAAAAGAAGCGAAAGGGAGGGATAAAGATGCAAACAAATGGTTTATGTTACAATTTATTTTAAAATTTTCAATTGTAGTCCACAAAATGCGCACTGAGAATCCTCAACCACAGACACCATCAGAATCGGACACAATGGAGACAACATCAGGTGTTATGAGTGATCACACGCATCTACTGCCTCTACTGAGATCCTTTAGTGATCATACAAAAGAAGAGAATATAGCAGCAAGTGCTGGCTGCAGTAGCATCAAAAAAGACATTAATATTGACGATAAGGACAACAAGCATCTAGTCATCGACAACCAAACATATCAGAATGAGGACGAGAGTTGTGATGATGATTTTAAGTATCCAAATATTAGAGTTATTAACGAAACTGATGTTTAAAATAAAAATTGGGTCATTTCTAGTATTAAAAAGATGAGTTTAGAGATTCTAATATCAAATTAAGCAGTTACAACTTCACAATATTTGCTGCCAGTTATGATTAATTTTGTTGTTATTGCATTGAAAAAGTTATTGATGATTTAAATTCATTTGCTTTACATCTGCTCAAATGTTATGAAATAAATATTGTAGGGAAAAATATGAGAAAAAAATAATCTTCGTAAAAATATTTTCGTTATCAATTAATGTTCGATTTAGACTTATTTGTTAGAATTACGATGGTAAAAAGCTAATCTTAGGTAAATAAAAAAAAATATTAAAATAAAATAATTTGAAAATTTATATTGAATGTTTTTGATTCTTTCAAGTTTCAGGAAACTTTTTAATAAATATTATCTACTTAACCACAAAGTGTGTTCAATCTAACCTTAAAATTTGTCAACTTAACCTCAAAAAGTGTCAATTAAACTTTGAAAATTTTCTTTTTAACATCAAAAAGAGTTCACTTAACCTCAAAATTTACAACTTAACCTCAAATCATGGGAAGTTGCCCTAAACCTTTGTCAATTAAACCTCAAAAAATGTTGAATTAACCTCAAAAATTTCCAACTTAACCTCAAAAAATATCCTAAAATATTTTTTTAACCTCAAAAAGAGTTCACTTAACCTTAAAATTGCCAACTTAACCTCAAAATTAAAACTTAACCTCGAAAATAGTTCCCCTAACCTCAAAAGAAATTAAATTAACCTCAAAAATTGTCTTTTTAACCTCAAAATTGACAACTTAACCCCAAATATTGTCAATTAAACCTTAAAAGGTGCCAACTTAACCTAAAAAATTGACAATTTAACCTAAAAGATCGTCAACAAATCCATAACCAAAATTCACTTGAAGCACCCACAGAGCTTTAACCTCTAAATAATGCCGCAAATTACAAACACCAAGCATTAGCATCAGAAATCAGGAAACATGACCAAAAATTAGATTTCCTATAATTCTACTAATTTGATTACATTAAAACGAAAAAAAAAACGGAAATTTGAATGTCACGGCAGCTCTGACAGCTCATTTTGTGCATTAATCAACTGCACTGAACGATTGTTGACATGTTGAAATTTCATAATTTCCTCGTGATTGACACTTGACTCAATTAGATGTAAAAACTGATTTTATTTTTTGTGCTTTCTCTTTTTTATTTTCGAGTGCAACTAGTTGAATTTTGATTCTTTTTGAACGACCTTCAACAGTGGCTTTCCGGATGAATTGATTTAAATCGAATATTTTGTAGAATTTTTGAGCAACTTGGTTGGAAATGAACGTGGAAATTCGAAGTTTTACGATGATTTTCGGAATTTGTGGAAATTTTTTATAACAAAATATTGATTACTGGATTTTATAATAACCTAAAAAGTTTTAAAATTATTCGAATGGTGGGTTGAGGGGGGGGGGGGGGTCATCCTGAAATTAAAAAATAAATAAAAAACTCAAAAAAAATTCTTTAGCATTTAAAATTTTCCTTTATTTTTCACTTTTTTTTAAATTTTCAAAAACCAATCGACAATGAAATTCTATTCTTATCTAATTTTATAATTCATTCATTTTTTTCATCATATATTTTTTTATATTTCTTGCATATCATTTTAAGTAGATAGAATGAGTGAGTGAGAAAGAGATAGAAAATAAAAATATTCTTTTTTAAATTTAATTTTTTTTTTCATTAAGATTTTTTTAGTTTTTTCAGTATTTTACGTTTTTTTGGTAGTTATTTAATGGGATTTTTTTCTTTTTAACTTTTCTCATATTAGATGTAGAATTTTTTATTTTTATTTTTAAATAAGAATTCTTGAAAGTTTACGCACATTTTTTTGATTGGAATTTTTAATTTTAAAATTATAATTTGAATTTTCAGAAACAATAAAAAAAAACTTTAATTTATTTTATGCTTTTGAAATTTTATAAAAAAATTTTAACTTTTTTAAAAAAAGATGAATTTTAATCAAAATTCAAATAAAGTTTATAAATATCAAAAAAATCAAAAAAAAAATTTAAAAAAACCTTAAACAAATAAAATAAAATTAACAAATTCAAAAAGTTTGACAGTTTTTAAAAAAAATAATAAAATTCAAAAAAGTTCAAAAATTATTTGTAACTTATTAAAAAATTAAAAGAATTTGATTTTTCTGCATAATAAACTTTTTTCACTCTACAGAGCTCTAAGTTCTTCCTTACATCATATTTTCCTCGATATTTATTGCTTATATTTTAACCCTGTATTAAATATACAAACATACAAAGTAGATTTTTTTCCATTCTTCATCAGTTTTAGTGTTGGAAAATATTTCTATAATTTTTTTTATTTCTGCAAAATATTTTCTATAAGTTAGAAATTTAAGTTTTTATTTCTCAGTTTTATGGTTTCTCAGTCGGTGTGTTTTTGTGTTATTTTGAAGAAATTAAATAAAAAGAAAATAAAAAAATAATTCTGTGCGTATCCTTCCAAATTTTTCTCATTTTATCGTTTTAAAAAATAATTTTTCACATTTTTTCGTAAATAATTTTTCAATTCTTTCATTTTTTTAAGTGTTCAAAAAAATATTCTTATTATTTTATTGCTCAAAATTGTCATTCTTTTCCTCTAAAGTTGTCCGATATTTGAAATTACTTAAAAATAAGTTAATCTGCTACTCTTTTTATTTTTTTAATATTTTCTTCTGCTGCCATTATAAAAAATATATTCGACACTAATTTTTTTTTTCATTTTTCTTAAATATTTTTTACGTCTTTCTTTCGTCAACATTTTTTTAAGTTTAATTTTTTTTAAAGTTTCTGTTTTGGTGAAATTTTTGTGTGTTTTTGTAATCTTTTTGAGATTCTTACCTGTTAATCTATTGGTTTGATGTGTGATGCTTGAGATTTTGAATTTTTGAGGTTATATTTGAAGATTGAGGTTAAATTATGAATAGATTTGGATTTTGTTTTGTGATTGCACCTCTATAAAGATTTCTATGGGGTACCATGATGATTCGTTGTAAAATTTGCAAGTCTTACCTCAAAAATTTGATGTCTAACCTCAAAGTTTGCAAGTCTAACTTCAAAAATTGAAGTCAAACCTCAAAATTTTTAAGTCAAACCTCAAAAGTTGAAGTCAAACCTCAAAAACTTCAGATTTAACCTCAAAACTAATAAACATAACCTCAAAAAATTTCAAATTTTTTTTTCATAGTCTATTGCATTTTTTCAACCATTTCGTTTGTAACCACAACTTTAAATTTACTCTTAAAAAAATTTCACGCACACATTTTTTTCCTCATAAACTTCTTCATCATTATAGAAAAATCGAGAAATAATTTAATCTTCATGTTGAACTTCCACGCGTAATTGATGGAAGCTTTTATAAATTAATTCATATTAATTAATAGAAATTTAATATTATTTTAGAGATATAAAATTTATGTATTATAGTAATTTTAAGTATAACATTATAATTATTTATTATTATTAGTATTTATATTACTATTTATTAATATTATTATAATTATTATTGTTGCTATTCATGAGTAGATATGTTTACGTTATATAAATTTCTCTTATTATCATCATTAAATGCTTATTAAATTTTCATATATGTAATAATATTATAATAAAATATTTTTTCCCATCAACTTCCACGCTGAACACGTGGTCACTTATGGTGCTTTTAATAATTCAAGCATAACTCAAACTGTTAATTAAACTAAGAAATCAAAAATTATTGGAAGTTTAAATCTGTAATTCATTAGAGCATTTTATATGTAAATTTTTTTCTTATTTTATCCAATGATCTATGAACTTCCATGCGGAAGCTGGTATTGGAAATATTTTTTCTTCATTTCTTATTACTTTTATGGCAGTTTTTGTCTTCACAGCCAATGAATATTTTCTTTTTCTTCTCTATTTTTTAAAAAATATTATTTAACTGTTATGTTTTTTGAAAGCTACATTGTAGCTTTGCCTTGTGTCTTTTTTTTTGGAGCTTCTGAGTGAGGAGGTTGTGTTAGTGACTTCTCGATTGGAATCTAGACTAGTCGCTAAGGGTCATCTCGACATGGTTGTGGATAAGTTTGGACAAAACATATGAAATTACAGTCGATGCATTGGTAATCTTAGGATTTCATTATAAACTGTAATTCTAGGTTTGACCGAAAAGTCTGATGAAGGGCTGATTGGCGAATTATCATCAACCATGAATCCTAAGGTCTGAACAGCTGAATTTCAATTCTTAATCAATGCTAAGCATAAGAAACCGTAGGTTTAGTTTTTAGATTCATTGTAAATTAGAATAGATTCTAGTGTCTTTGATCCTTTTGTTGTTATTAGGTTAAAATCTACGATATGATTAGTTCCAATTGATCCACTGTGAATCGTAGGTTTTTAATAAAGCGGTTAAAAAGGTTCTGTCCCGGGCTATAGCAGCTACTTCTGCTAGTCTAGGATAATTCCAGAATAACTTAAGTTTTAACTGCTTTGTCTACCCTCGGATAGTGTTTGAAATAGTTTACACAATAAAAACCGGTTCTAGGTCTACATATTAACCTGATTAGCTTGATACAACAAGAACATGGTGTGATCTTGAAGTAACGGTGGTTATGTCAAAGATAAGAACTTTATATCTTAAATACTAAGTGCAAAAGACATTAAGTAGGTGTCCTTTGATCCTTATCAGAGACTAAATCTCTTAATCATAGTCAGAACTTCAGAAAATGGAAGAGAAAAACTTATTTGGTAGGAAAAGGGTTGCTTTTCTTCTATCGGACCATTTTATTCAACGGCACACCTTAGAACGAAGCCGTTACCAAAACCGCACAGGTTTTACGGTTGATTGGATTTCTTGAATTATTTCGCGGCACATAGGTTAGCCATCACTGTACCATATCAACCCCTAGCTTTGCAGCTGTCATAACCCAGCTAACATCAAGCCCAACTCAACTCCATATCAGCTCAGAAGCACAAATCTGTCCTT